CCGACAGCGGGTTTCCCTGCGAGTCGGATTTGGAAGGGCATTGGTTAGTCCAGCGATAATCCCATTTTACATTTGGGGCATTTTTGAGTGGGACGTTTCTGCTCTTGTTGTCGGCATTGTTTCTGAAAATGTCCCTCTTTGCCGCGTTTAAAGTATTTTTGAGGTCTTAAAGCAGAGGTGAGCAATACTGCCTTATGAGACTCTGTGCCCACATTTTGGCAGGCTCGGATCATTTCCGCAATATTGGGGCACTGGCCTCTTCACCTTTTGGCAGTCCTGATTGGCATTTTCATCAGCCAGTTGAGTAGTTAGAAGTGTTTGTGCATCAGTATTATCCACTTGCCTTGCTATAGCGGTTTGCAATCTCTCTGTAAAAGTTATATAGAGTTCACTGGCTCGTTGCTGAATGGTAGCGAACGAGCCAGATGGGGTAGGAGAATCTGGAATCCGGGACCGTGCCTTAATGGCAGCGTCTGCTATTTGCGGAAATGCCCTTCGATCCATAGCAACTTGGGCGTCCACAGTCCTTAAGGCCCTTCTCCTAATAACTTTTCAATTCCAATAGGTATGTCATTTGTCAAGTTGTCCACGGCAGTTATCTGAACAGCACCTCGATATTCTTGCAGCCGTAAAGAATATTGGACAGTGTTAAGAACCATTTTGACCAATGTTTTCCAGTCCCAAGGGGTCATCTCCTACCCACCGCCGATCCCTTCTGTGATACTCTTTGTGAAAGTACCTGAGAGCCCATTCTCACGGATGCTCCGACAAAGCCCCTTGAGGCCCGGGGACGCTAAGTGATCGTGCCGTGGAGCTTGTCCCTGGTCTCCGAAGATAGGACGTGCTCCAATAAAGCCTTCTTGTTCTTGGGCTTCCTTTTTTTTGGTGTTCCTTTAAGATCTTTTCTACCAAGGGAAAGGAGGCACTCTCCTCAACAGCTTTATTTTCTGCCTCTAGGGAGGGTGGAGAGGGAGGAGGCAATTTATCGGGGGGGGGGGGGATATTATTGGAGCCTCCGGCGGGGTGGTAGGGGCTACATTCATGGGGCTGTTGCCGTGACTGGGGAACACGTCGGCGGATCTGAAGGGGGAGGAATGAGGTCTCGCCAATCAGTTTTAGCTGGTTTTTTTCTGTAAAGAGTGGATAGCTATCCGGCAAAGATCCCATGTATGCAAATGAGAATCTGTAACAGGACCCAGTGCATTTTTCAGCCATCTGCCCACACGTTCCCAGTCCTCAACCGAACAGGAGCCCTAGGGCATGTACCATGGGAAATGCTGACCTATTACTGACAACAATCGTATTAAATCCTTATCAGTTACTTTGTATCCTGTACAGTGCAGAAGCACACGTAGTTGCTCCTTATGGACAGCCTGTTGCCTACTTAAAGGTGGTCCCATAACTAACACGGTTATAACAGACAGAAAAACAGATCAGAGAGAAATTCAAAGTAAAATCCTGCACGCCTGAAAGAAAGAAAAATGTGAGTTCACTTGTCACTCCGTCACAGGCATCAAGGGCTGTACTTCCTACCTGGATGAGCGCACGTCCTGTCTCGGGCTTGAGGAGTGACGTGCAGGATATCGAGTCCTGAAAAAGTCCCTGTTCGGGCGCCAAATGTCGTCCCGCACTGAACTCAAGTCCTCAGACAACCATTTGAGCGGCCGTGCAGGACTGCCTCAGCTGGATTCTGCACATGGCTTTTATTTATTTTATTTTATTTTATTTTATTTTATTTTATTTTATTTTATTTTATCAGAAAAGCAAGAACAGATGCCTCCAAGTGTGGGAAAGGAGTACAAAGGGATGGCAAATATCTTGAGGCAGGCTTGCCTTTTCTCCAACGACGGGTAGGCACGCAGGGAGGCAGTCATGGGATAAGGGAGGAGCAGGAAGTGGGGGGGATGAGGGTTACATTCTTTCCTAGCTCCTAACCTATGCCCTGCCCCTGAGGATCATGGGATCCCGTTCCTTCTGGGCCATTGCTTTCAACAGCCGGAGACCAGGAACGCTGCTGACGTTTTCAGCTGCTTCCACACTCACCCCTTAGGGCTTACAATCTTCTAAGAATAACTCCACACACATATACGAAAAAGAAAATAGCGTTTCATTTAAGAATGTGTATTACTCATTGCATTTTTCCACTTGCGTATTGTTTAGTGTATTTTAAATATTTTTATAAATTTTATCCTTGTAACTTAACTATTGCGTGATTAATTTTACTCCATCTTTACCTTTATGAATTTACGGTTCATTTAATGTTTGTGATTTGTTGATACATTATTTTAAATGCATTGGATATTAAGTTGCCTTGGTATTTGTAGCATATGAATTGTGAACCATTTTTAGTGAAAATACTGCTTTTATGTGAAATAAACACCGATACGCTACTATTGTTCTTTTTTTTTCTGGTATTGCCATCACTAATCTCTGTTTAACTTCTTCCGCATATCTTCCAGGTGGTGAGCGCCTTTTTGAAAAGCGAAGTAGGTGTTAGGCGTGTGGTGTTCTTACATGTGTGGTGGGCAGAGTCACGGCCCCCGGAGAGGTCCATGCCCTAGTCTGCAGAACCTGTGAACGCAGTAGGTTTTATGGCACAGGGGACTTGTAGTTGCAGACGGACCTTGAGACGGGGAGACGGTCTTGTGGGCCCAGTGAGATCACAGGGTCCTTACAAGCAGAAGAGGAAGAGGCAGAGACCGAGGACCAGAGGGATGGCGGCGTGAGAAGTTGGGGCGCGTGGCTGGCCTTGAACGGAGGGGCCCTGAGCTCGGGAAAGTGGGGGCCTCTGGAAGCTGGGATATGTTGAGGAGTGGACTCCCCCCGGGAGCCCGGCACCCAGCTGAGCCCCGATCTTAGTCCCTCCCGTGCGCCATGGGTCCCTGCCCTCGCGGTAACTTGTTGCAGCTGCAGAACGCTGCAGTGCTGTGTTCTGGAATCACTTACCTATTTGCACTCACAAAGCCAGGTTAGAGGCCTGCTTGGCCCTTTCCTAATGATGCGTAGGAATTCCCTGTGTCTGTTGGGTACGAATTCTTTGTTGGTTGCATGTTGTAAATAAACGTGTTCTTCTGGTTTTCTATTTCTGTAAAGGCCTCTTGACGCGCCTTTTGACACAGACTTCATGATTGTAATAGAGTCAAATCATTGATCGTTCAGCTGCTGTGTTTGTGTCTTGTTTCACAAGTTTCTGTCTCATTCAGGAACAGAAAATACAAAACATCTCCAAGTAGGTTACAGATGGCAGTGTTAAAAAGCAAAACTTTTAAAACTTTCAGTAGGAAGAACATGAGAGGTGATTTTTTTCTGTCCCTGGCTCTGCTCCTGGCCTGGCCCCGCCCAGGCTGATGCTTGGAGCTGGACACCCGCAGGCTTGCCCTCCTGCCCCCCCCCCGCCCAGGGAACCCTCCACCCCCTTCTAGGATCCCGGAATTTGTGTAAACAGCACCCCCAAGGTGCTCCCTACCCCACGGGGAGAGAAAGATCTCTATCCAGAACCCTGGCAGTGGTTCCCACAATGTCCCCCACCTCCAGGCAGGACACTGCACCCCTCCCTTTGCCGGACTGGTCCCAGGACCCTGAGAGGAACCAGGGACGCCTCTCCTGGTGAGTCCGCAACCTGCAGGACCAGGGTCACAAAAGGGCGTTGCTTGGGGATGAGCTCCTTCTGTGCACAAGGAAATCCACCCAACGAGGTGTCTGACCTCAGTCCTCCCCACTCTCCCTGCCCCTCCCCTGCAATCCCAGCACTAGCGGGCTCAGGTGGGTGGGCCTGGGGCCTGGGAAGTTGGGTGGAGTTCTGAGGCCTTCTGGGCAGGTGGTGGTCCGTGCCTCAGTCTCCCTGCTCCCTACCCCTTGCAGGTACAGCCTAGTGAGGGATGAAGGGCTGGGGGGCGCCCCTCAGCTTAGGGGCGGGCTCCCTCCCCAAACCTGCAGACCCACTGGCCAGGTCGGGCCTCATCAGCACCTTCTCCTCGGCTCCGCTCCATAGAGGGCAAACTGAGGCAGGGATGAGATGTTGTTCACAGGCCTCCCGGGTCTGTCAGGATCCAGGGTTCTCATCTGGGCCCGCTGCCTTCCAGGGAGCCAGCATCCCTGTCCGCCATTGAGGATAACCTCACTGGCCCCACGTGGTCTTCGTGAGCATTCGGAAGACCCCAAGGGGAGCAGCTCGGAGGGTCACTACTCCAATAGCGTTGCAGATGCAGGGGGCTCAGCCCGCAGCCCAGCTGATGGGGAGGGTGGGTGGAGGCCCCCCGGAGCGGCTGAGAGCCAGGAAGCCTTCTGCGCACACACCACCACACGCTCAGCTTTCTGGAGTGGACCTGGTTTTTAGGAGCGAATACTCATCGGCACAAAGGAACAGCCAGTTCTCCGGCAGCCCGCGGAAGGAAGGGCTCCTCCTCCTCCCGCACCTGGGCAGGGGTGAGGGGAGCGCTTCTCCTTCGTCCTACACGCTGCGGCGCACCTGGCTCCTCCCCCACGCAGGTGCCCTAGTCACCAGACAAGAGAGAACACTCTAAGTCCTTGTCCCGTCAAAACCGCAGTGCCCTCAGCTTTACGTTACTATGTATTCGTGGACATTACAGCTTCAAAATGGAAGCGATTTTACAATTCCCCAAACTGCTAAGAGCTTAAAGTCACTCCACACATGAACAGAGAAAATCCTGCCTTTTTACTCATTTGAAAGCAAGATCGCCGTCCCTCTGGCCAAGGGGGCCAAGCGTGGAGATGTCCAGTGGGCACCGTGAGGCCGTCTGAGGCACATTCCGGTTTCCTCCCACAGGGTAAAGCTGGGCCACCATTTCCTCCAAGTCACATGGAGCTGACGGTCCTTCAGCTTGTTCAGCAGGAAGGTCATGTCCACACACACCCTGCGTCGTGGGGCCGGGCTCTGTCCCTTCCGCGCCTCCCCCGGCCGAGCCCCTAGCCTGTGTGCCAGAGTGGACTGCACTCTGTTTGCCTTTTAATATTAATCTTGAAATAAAAGGGACAAAATGCTCTTTTAGTGATCTTTTTATTATGTTCATATGCTCAGGGTGAAGTGACCCCTAGCCCCAGAAGTAACAACAAAAATATATTAGTTAGATATTATAATTCTGGTACCCGAAATAAAGACAAATAGAAAACTATGTTAAAACATTAAAAAGTTGCAAATTTTCATTAAAAGTATTTACATGTGTATTCTGATGCCAAATTTATACACATTTTTTTAAATTAGCTTGATAAAATATTCTGAAATATGAAAATAATAGAAATAAATAGTTAAATATCCACAACATATTCAGTAATGAAAAGTCAATTATTAATTCCTGTTCCAAATTTACATATTTGTTTATAAATGGCCAAGGGATCTTACAGTTCCTTCCAAATTTTTTATCTTTTATTTGTGGTTCCTTAATAGTCTCTAACTCTGTAAGGCTTTCAGTGGCCACAAGTTACTGCTAGGGATCATTTCAACATAAATGCACGATTCTTCCGTAACCAACAACGCTAATTGGTCTTAAATGCACCCGATTTGGTCAATCACTAAAATTAAGTATTTTTACAAATATTTTTTTAAGTTACATGTTATAATACATAGAAAATAGGACACAGATATTTGAAAGTTTTGATCGGAGAGGAAGGAATGGTTCCTTCACTAACCCGTGTCACCACTGCTCTGGTTACGGAAGCGGCTGGTCTGCACGCGGAGGACGGGCCGGCAGGTTGAGCTGCTGTTCCCAGGCCAGGAAGGCTCGTGGGTCATCGGTTGGCATCTGCACTCTGCTCTGTCCACTGAAGGTTTATGTTATTTCTCCCCATATACTTTTTATTTTTCAATTGGTTATTGTTTTTAAAGGTAATTCTCTCAGTCTTATTCTTGCTGTGTATGAGAAGGTATTAGTTCGCCCAGGATGGAGAGAGTCGTGCAAATTCACAGTCACGAACGTCCTCAGGGAGTACACCACTCAAACAGCTGTTAGGGGTCTTCTAAAATACACTTTGCTGTCTCACACGGTTGGGAACTCAGAATACTTACGCACTAATCATATAGTCCACATTTCATCCACTGCACCCAGTTCTCGCTGGTGTTTGGAGAGCCTGCTGACGCTCGTGAGGCCGCACGGTGGGAAAGGAAGGGCGAGCTGCCTCGGGTCCCCGGGGAAGCTCGGCGGCGGGGAGTACAGCCCTGCGCGGGGGGACACACCGGGGCGCCTCCCAGCAGACTGCTGACGCACACGGGCTGGTTGCCACAGCCGCCTGCAGGGGACGTGCGCGGGCCCACTGCCCGGGGGGCCCGATGGCTGGCCAGGAGCGAGGTCTGGGTTCCTCATTTGAAGTGGTGTTTGGTGTTCGGGGCATCCCAGGACCAACTTACGGTCCCAATTCCAGCGTAGATGTGTGAGGGGCAGCACGACAGGCCCGAGGCAGACGCTCTGCGGTCTGGGCTGGAGGCTCGCTTGTGATGTACATGAAGCAGAAGCTACTCCGTGCCAGCGTCCGCAATGCCACATCTGCCTCTAGGGCTGAGGACAGGGTTGCTCGACCGAGGTGGTCAGGTGAGCTCAGCACAATTAGGGGACAGTCCCTTCATAATTCTGTCTGGGGGCTGCCCACGTGTAGGGGACGTGAGCGCCCTGAGCACAGCCCTGACTCGGAGCCGGGGGGACTGCCGCGGACCCCACGTTCCTCACGGGCCCCGGCGCTCCTCACGAGTGCCGCGGGCGGAGCCACGCGCCGTGGCCTGTGAGAGGGCGGAGCGCGGGCCCGCGGACACGGGTGAGACGGTGCGCCGGGCAGGGGCGGGGGAGGGCGCCCGAAGAGCCTCGCGCACGCCGTCTCTCCCGCCCGGCCGGTTCCCACTGCCGGGGCGCCAAGGCCCGGAGGGCGTGCTGCCACACGGGCGAGGGGGACCAACATGCACCAGGCTCACAGTGAAGCCTTTACGGGAACGACGGCGAGCCCGTGAGGGAGAGCGCTGTGCTCACACTACACCTTCCGCAGCCTGACCCACCCGGGCGAGGCTGTCGGTGCCCTTCAAACACGCTGATGCTCTTCTGTCCCCACTGGGCTGGGAGGTCGGACGCCTGGCTGCTGGAAGCCGCGGGGGGTTTGGTCCTAGCCCCGGGATGCAGGTTCTTCGGTCGGCTGTGCAGCGGGCGCGACAGCTAAGGACGGGTGGGGCCGAGGGCGGGGGGACAGCGGCGGCGGTGGACGGGTCACCATGTCCAAGGACAGGTTTTAGGCGAGATGGTTCACAGTCAGGAAACTTGCTCTGTCCCTTGTGGGGACAAAGGAGACAGAACGCGTGTCCTGTCACTGCTTTGTGTACGTCCTGCCAGAGCTTTTGCTCAGTCCCTTCGGGGTTGGGATCTTGCTTCCAACCTTTGATCCTGAGGGCCCCGATTTGGCCGTGGCTGGGCCTTTACCTGCCGGACACACAGACACACAGAACACAGGCACCGTGTCAGGAGGGAGACGGAGACACGAGCAGAGCGCGTGGCCGCGGCGACGGCACAGCGGCCCCCCCCCGCCCGCAGGGCCCGGGCTGAGCAGGGCAGGCGCGAGGGCGGGCCGCACGGCGGAGGAGGACGTGCACGTGAACCGGCAGAGGAAGGAAGGAGCTCAGAGGAGCCTGACGGCAGGGATGGAGGGAAGAGAAGGGAGCCGGTTGCCAACTGCTGGCTTCAGAAGCGCAGCTCCAGAAATGAAGAAAGGGGCGGCCGTGAGACTAGAGCTTCGTCTCTGGGCGGAGGAACCCGGGCAGGCCCCTCCAAGTGCCCGTACTCCTGGTTTATGGAAGAGGCTGCTGTGGGGGCGGCAGGGGGGTGGCCCTGTCAGCCGCGCACAGCCCTCGGCACGGCGCCTGGCACGGACGGAGCCCAGGACCCACGTCTCCTCACACTCGTGCTGGTGACTCTCTTGCTTTTACACACCCCAAACATAAAGCTACGCATCCAACAGTGTTTTGGTTGGGAACAATTTTCTAATGAAAAATACCATATTTTCCTCCAAGGCGTTCTAAATCTGACATAAAATATTGAAAATTATGATTTATAAAACAGGTAGTGGCATTGTCTGTGAATCTACATTTGACTTTGTGTTTCTGAGTACTCTGGTTTGGTGATGCAGAAAGAGGCCGAGAACAGGGTCTGCACCCTAAGAACACCTGGGGGGCTGGGTTTGCTGCCTCCATGACGCTGCTGGGGAGCCTCCAGAAAGGGCAGGATCGTGCAAGCATCTAGTGCTGACAGAGTTCTGGTCAGGCAGTGAGCCTCCTCACTAAGAGCCGGAGACAGGACACAAAGACTAAGTGACAACGGAGAGCGGGGACCCCGCCATGCGGGCACCGACGTGCAGGAAGGCGCGGGCCTTACCCGGCAGCAGAACAGGAGCCTTGGGCAGCACGTGGGTCTTACGCAGGTTCATTGTGCAGCCAGCGGGGCCCATGAGGTGAGCTTTCCACGCCTGAAACAAAGGAGGCACACAGTGAGTCAACCAGGCAACCGAGGGAACAATCGCGATGAGCTCCGCCAGAGCCGAAACCAGGGGCAGCTGCAGCTCCTGACCGACCCAGCAGACGGAGTGTTGTCAGGGGCTGGGTGCCACCGTGTAGGTTTGGGGAGCGCACGGAGCTGTGGGTGGAGTCAGCGTGGCTGACGGGGGGGCGGCGGGGTGAGGGCCCCACACCCAGTGTGGCCTCTGGGTTCCAGACAAGAGACTGCAGGCACCCGAGAGGTGGGATTTCCACGCCGTGCCGGGCTCGGCTTCAGTCATGAGAGGGGACCGGCGTGCTGTGGTCTGGCCTAGACGCCATCTGGGGCCCCAGCACGCGGAGGAGCGCAGAGGCCAGACGGAGGCCAGAGCCCCTCACACTCACCCCCCGCCAAGAGCTGAGCCCCCCGCCCCCCCAGAGGGTCCACGGCGCTGCGGGAGGAGGAAAGCACCTGAGCAGGCAGGTAAACAGAGTAACTGTTCGGGCAGCGCTGCCACAGACCGGGGTGCTCCCCGAACACCCCCGCCCCCTGCCCACGTCAGGCCCTCACCTCCTCTCCAGGGGAGAAGTTCTCATGGCACAGAGGGCACCGGTTTGCCAGCTTCTCTGGTTTGGCAGCTGAAATGGTGTCAATAAGACAAGATTTAGTTCCTCCTGTGAGATCTGCACGAGGAGCAGGACACACCTGACCGGACACCCCCTCTGCAGCGGGGCCCCCCAGGCCAGGGGCACTAGGGACATGGAGGGCACCGCCTGGGCCCGCACTCACGGTTACACTCCTTCGTTTTTATGTGTCTGGGCAGCTCTTCCTTCAGAACAGCCTCGCTGCAGCGGTAACACTTTCCAAACCCATCTTTCTTGTCGCATTCTGTCAGCAAGTGCTCCGTCAGGCTGGAGATCTCCACCACCTGCATTCCGAAATGCAGAAGGAAGCACGTCTCCGAGAACACTGCAGTGTGTGCTGCCCCTGCCAGCCTGCACGATCCGGGCTCGCGCACCTTCGCTCAGTCCTCACCCCGCTAGCGCAAAGGGCTTGTGCCATCTTTCCTGGTGCTCTGCTTAACACCCTGTGTCCTCTCATCATGTTACTGTGGCAGCGCCTAAAGGCCACGGCTAAGGGTGAGGCTGGAGGAGTGATGGTTAATTCCAGTGGGACGCGTGTAGTAAAGCCACAGAACAGCTTAGCCGTGTGGCCCTCTGGGTTCCAAATCCCAGCTCCCTCACACTTGTAGTGTGCGCAGGAAGAGTGGTAGGAGACTCCCTTGCCACGCTGGTACGTTTGGCAGGAGTGACTCATATGCATGACGAAACTTCATGCCACAGACCCACACACCCTGCTGGAGAAGCCAGCACCTCCATCGGGGTCTAGAGTCTGCACTGCCTGCCTGAGGGTATGGAGGGGTCTGCCCACGCGAGAGCTTGCAAGAGCCCCAAGGCAGAGGCAAGAAGTTCCTTCTCTCCGTTCTCCCCCTTTATCAAAAGAAAGGCCACTGCATCAGAGAAGAGATAAAAATTTGGGGGGTAGGAGAAGATTTCTTAAACAAGCTACACGAAGTGTCAACCATGAGAAAGATGGACAAGGTGGACAACGTTAAACTTAAATGACATATTAGGATGACGGACAGGCTGGACCCCAAGCGGGAGAGGCCGGCTATGGCATCTGGGGCTGGCAAAGGACTCCGGTCCAGACACAGCAAGAATGACCACAGATCAGTAGAGCAAGACTGGCAATCTATTTTAAAACACGAACCAGAGGGCGCCTGGGGGGCTCAGTTGGTGAAGTGTCTGCCTTCGGCTCAGGTCATGATCCCAGGGTCCTGTGTCCGGCTCCCTGCTCAGTGCGGAGCCTGCTTCTCCCTCTGCCCCTGCCCCCCACTGCCCCCCCGCTTTCTCTCTCTCTCCCTCGTAAAAATAAATAAAATCTTAAAAAACAACCCATGAACAAGAGACTAGAAGGTATTTTCTAAAAGAGGGCCGTTGAGCAGCCAGCAGATGGACGGACAGATGGACAGGTGCCGCACCTCACCATCCGCAGAAAGCGTGGAGGTGGTGAGGATGGGGAGCAGCCCCCCATGCCCGGGCTGGTGCGTGGACGTGTGGCCCCTCCGAGCACCACCTGCGTCAGCCCTGCAGCCCAGTGGGGGCGCGCCCAGCCACTCCACCCCCGGGGTGCACCCCAAATGGTGCCTTCACAGGTGCACCGGGAGACAGACGCCAGAATTATTCATGGTAGCCTCAAACTGGACACAGCCAATTTCTAAAAACAGTAGGATGGGGGGATAATTGTGGACTGTTCAAACAATGACTGCTACACAGCAGGAAGGCTAACATGACATGAAATAATTACAGCTTGTAGGATTCCACTTACATAAACTCAAAAAGCAAGAAACACTGACTTGTGGTGCTGGGAATCGGGACGGTGGTGACTCTGGGGGGAGAGGTGGTGGCTTCGAGGCTTGGGGAGCTGGGGGCACAATTCTGTGGGGGTTCAGGGGCTCAAACACTTCTGACTTGTATATGGGCACCTCGTCAATAGCGCATTGTTTACGGCCTGAGGGTTTGTGGCAACTCTGCAGCGGGTGAGGCTGTTGGCGCCATCTTTCCAACAGCATTTGCTCACTGTGTGTCTCTGTGTCACATTTTGGTCGTCCTCACGGTATTTCAAACTTGTTCGTTATAATCACATTGGTCATGGTGACCTGCGGTCAGTGAGTAGGGCTTGCGGAACGCTCAGACGGTGGCTAGCATTTCTTAGCAGTGAAGTATTTTTCAAGTACTTACGTTGTTTTTTGGACGCCACGCGGTCACACACGTATCAGACCACAGTACAGTGCGGACATAACTTGTGTGTGCCCCGAGAAGCCCAAAACGTCACTGACTGGCTTTAGTGCGGTTTTTGTTTTCCTGTGGTGGTCTGCAGCAGAACCCACGCGAACTCTGCGGTGTGTGTGCACGTTTACGTATGCGTTACGTACTTCGGTGAGAATCAGTGAGAACACACCAACTGCACACACAGAGGGGGCTCTCCATTCAGCTATCTTCCCCAGGTCTTTTCCTCTTAGAAGGCCGCAGCTCGGGCTGTCCTTGCAGGGACTGACCTGTTTGCAGTGGGCGCACCTCGTCAGCATGAGACATTGCTTCCAGTAGTGCAGGTCCAGCCCCTCTTCTGTGAAGGACTCACTCCTTTCCCCACAGAAGATACACAAACTGGAACAGAACAGAAGCCAGAGATGAAGGCACGGGGGGTCGTCTAGAAACACGCACACCTCCCCTGTCTGCGGGCGGCCTGGGGTCCGCGGGGGGACAGTGCGCTAGTGCGCAGTAGGAAGAGCGGGTGTTTGTGACAAACTAGCTCAAGGTCCCTTCAAATTCTAAACTGTCAGCATAATCAAGCACAGACACTATTTAAGTCACAAGAACAAAGATATTTTACTGAAATTCCTGTAGATTTGCCGTGGTGGCTGCACAGGGAAAAGTATTTTGCTGTCACAATATTCTGTGCCTTTAACAGCACTTCTGACAAACGGGCTGCTCACTTCTCTGGGAGTAAAGCGGGGAAGGCATCCTGACTCTCCCGGGGCGGGGGGAGTGCCTGTCGGTCCGGAGGGCCATTCCCTACCTTTACGAATGACCGAGAAGAGCCAGTTAGCTTATATAATCCTGCCGGGCTCGGGAAAATATTTCCTTCGCGGCACCTGCATGCGGCAAGCCCTTCGACCCTCACAGCAAAGGCTAAAGAACCTCTACTCACTTATCCAAATAGTGATTATCTGGGACTTCTGGAGCTGGCGGGGGTGCTGCTTTCCCTCCTTGTGTGTCTGAAACGAAAATAGAAAGCATTTAAAATAACCTTCTGTAAAAATTATTTTCAAATTTTTAATAATCAGTTTGATGTGAAATACATTTAAAAGCACCCAAGTTGAGGGGCGCCTGGGTGGCTCAGGTGGTTGAGCATCCGACACTTGATCTTGGCTTGGATCATGACCTCGGGGTCGTGGGATGGAGCCCCGTGTTGGGCTCCGCGCTTAGTGGGGAGTGTGCTGCTCCCTGTCCCTCCGCCCCTCCCCCTGCTTGTGTTAATCTTACATTCCCTGGATATTTGCTCAGGGAATGAGGTGGCCGCTGCAGACAGTCCCCATGCCCAGTACCTACCCTGACTCTCCGCCTCCACCGAGGGGCCTTCTTTCCCCTAAGAACAAAAACAGAAAGATCAGGGACAGATGGCTGCACAGTGAGAGTCTGTCCAGGACGCATTCTGATGCCAAAAATAAGTTCTTCTGTTTTCAGACTTTTTACCAGCAAGTAACAGAGCTCTATGAGCCGTTAACGTCTAAATGTGTGTCCTCCCCTCACAAGCCCCACCACGGGCTCCTGCCTCTGCTGCCGCTTCCCAGTAGCTCACCCTCCGCAGCGCCCATGGGCTCTGGGCAACACGTGACCATCACCCTTCTCCATGGATGCCTGGGGCACCCCAGGAGCCCCATCTCCTCGGCCGCCTCCCCGCTCCTGGCTCCTCATGCTAGGCACGCTCTTCCTGGTTCCCGGGCTCACAGCCCCCGGTGCGGATGACCAAGGGTTCAAGCCTTCTCTCCTTGGGGGTCCCAGGACCCAGCTTCTCCTGACCAGGCCGAGCCGCTGCCCCAGCCCGCACCATCGCAGATCAGGCTCCAGAGCCCCAGGCACACGCTCGGAGAGACCTCTGACGTCTCACCTTCTCCCCACTCAGCCCCCACCAGCCCGCCAGCAAGTCCCAGGCTGGACTTCGAGCACACCCAGGCCTCATCTTGCCGGGTCCGGGGGCCTGCTTCTGGGGGTCCTCCCACGCAGTGGCTGGTGGGCCTGTGAATGCCTCGGCAGGCCGATGTACTTCTGCTTGAGACCCTCAGCCAGCTTCCTAGGTCACCTGTCCCCTCATCTCGAGTCTGCAGCGCCTACTGTGACCTGGCTCCAGCCGTCCCTCAAAGGCCTGGTGCTCAAGCTCTGGCCCTCTCCTCCTCTTGCCTAGGCTCTCCCCTCGAGAGGCCCTCCAGAGCAAGGTGTCAGCCAGCAGCCCCTCCTGGGCTCCGCACTCACTTGTGTATCTTGATCACCATCCGACGCCCCTGAAAGAGGCGAGCGTCCCCAACGATGGAGACTCTTGTCTGTTCTGTTCTCTGGCGCACACTGTCCCCAGCACGCTTGTGGACTAAACGGGTAACGTGCCATAGCGTTCCCACGCTGAGGCAGCCCTCAGTCTGATGGGCTGGGCCGCGCTCCTCCCGCCAGGCTCCTGCCCTGTGTCAGACACCCTGCGTCTGGGGTGCTAAGGACGCAGGGGAGCGCCAAGCTGTGGAGCAGGCAGAGGGGTCCCTTATGAGCAGCAGAGCGGCCCTGCTGGTGGCAAGCCGTGGCCGGGCTCAGGCCTTCCTGCTGCAGCTCTCCCCCGCCCCAGAGCTCTGGCGGCCGCGTCAGCACGTCTCCTCCCTGGCTCTCTGAACACTGCCATCGGCCCTACAAAGCCCAACTGTGTGGTGAGCGCCTCACAGCACCCCTGAGGACCAACCAGCCCAGCCTGGGGGTGGGGGGTTGAGGGCCTTCCCAGACTTTCAGTTTCAGAGAACAGGGACAGTGGGTGGCCCTACACGTAGCATTTAAGGGATGTGTTACAAACATGGGTACCGTCTGCTGCATTTGTAGAGAATCAAGCTTCATGTCAGAGTAAGTGACTTACGTCACAGCCAAGCACGGAGCAGGACACACACACCAGAACACAATCTTAGAGCTGGGGAGGGTTAGTAGATTAACAGGAAGCTGGCACGGGGCTCACGCGATTTATGTGCCTACACAGAAAGCAAACTCAGCAGGACTGGAATTCAGGCATCAAAACCTCTTCTTAAGAGAGACGGGTTTGGGGGCACCTGGGTGGCTCAGATGGTTAAGCGTCTGCCTTCGGCTCAGGTCGTGATCTCGGGTCCTGGGATCGAGCCCTGCATCAGGCTCCCTGCTCAGGGGGAAGTCTGCTTCTCCCTCTGCCCCTCCCCCTGCTCATGCTCTCACTGTCTCTCTATCTCTCAAATGAGTAAATAAAATCTTTAAAAAAAAAAAAAGAGACAGAGAGATGGGTTTGTGTATTTTGCAGGGAGACAATGTCAACAATGCCGAAAGCTGGATGCTTTGAATAGCTTAGAAAACTGATCAGTAATTTTCAAATCTTTTTTTCTAAAACTCGGGAGCAATCAGGCAATCTAAAAATACTGTCATTCCCAGAAGCTTTGGAGCTGGATGGAGGGCACAGTGCTAGTCCTGTGACTGTACTTAATGGCACAGGATTGCACACTTGAACATGGTTAAACTGGGAAGTATGCTACAAATATTTCACCACAATAAAAGCAACAAAGAGACTCCATCGTCCTAAGCAATCATTCCAGGACAGCGGGCCCACGTCCGCCCCCCGCCCCACGGTCCACCCTGTGTTGCTCTTTCTTTCACTGTCTCTTCCTCTTAGAGCAGTGGCCCTGTGGGGGTGGGGCGGATAGGACTTGGTGGTGTTCCCTGCTTATTTCCAGAGCCCAGCACAGTGCCTGGCACAGAGCAGGTACTCAGCAAACATGTAATGAATGGAGATGAGCTGGCGAATGCGCTCCGGGAAAGCTGGAGGAGGAGGCTACCCAGCACTGTTTCCACAGACATCTATGGGGGGGCGGCGCGTGGCCTTAGGGACGCCCACAGCATCTGGGGCTGGGCTCACTGCAGCCCGGTGCTGCACTGGGGAGGAGAGAGGGGTTTAGCAGCACAGCCCGGCTGTCTTGGCTTAACCACTGAGAGGTCTGTCCTTGGGGCAAGTCGCCTTAGTTTTAAAAATTTGTTTGCCCATTGGGGCACCTGGGTGGCTCAGTGGGTTAAGCGTCTGACTCTTGATTTTGGCTCAGGCCATGACCTCAGGGTTGTGGGGTAGAGCCCTGTGTCGGGCCCTGCGCTGGGCGTGGAGCCTGCTCGAGAGTCCCTCTCCCTCTGCCTTCCCTCCTCCCACTCATGCTCTTCGTCTCTCCCTCTCTAAAAAATACAAATACATAAAATAAATTTGTGTCTCTATTTGTATGACATTAGGGAAAGTCGAGTACCTGCCGGACCTGCTTTAGCAAGCAGCTGTGAGAACCGGACCCAACATGAATGTCTTAAAGAACCACCCCTGCGGGGCGCCTGGGTGGCTCAGCCGTTAAGCGTCTGCCTTCAGCTCAGGTCACGGTCCCGGGTCCTGGGATCGAGCCCCGCGTCGGGCTCCCTGCTCCGCGGGGGGCCTGCTTCTCCCTCTCCCTCTGCCCCTCCCCCTTTCTCTTGCTCAAAATAAATAAAACCTTAAAAACAAAACAAAACCAAGCCCCCCTTGACTCCGTGGTGTGAGGCCCCACCCCAGGAAACCCTCCACGGCCCTCCGGCTCTGTCCTGTTCGCCGCAGCTGCCAGTACCTCCCAGATCATCACTGTGACTTTGGGCCACAGGCACTTCAACACCCACTCAGTTGTGTTTTCTCTCTCTCTCCGAGCCGTGGCAAGAACGCTCACCGCGAGGTCTACCCTCCTAGCAGCCTGCGGCGGGCAGTGTGGTCCCGTCAACAACAGGCACGGTGCCGCGCAGCACACTCCGGAACCTTCTCCTCCCGCACCCCTGAAACCTCATGCTCCGGGATGAGCTCCTCCCCACTCCCTCTCCCCTTTTCTTTCAACCGAAGGACGTGAATGACAAAATAAACGTCGTGAAATTGCTGTAAATCCCAGAAACAGGGCAGTCACTCTCCGACCCCCCAGACAGCGTCTCCCAGAGGCTGAGGACCAGGGGCTTCCTGAGGGGGAACATTTCCCTGAAACCTGCCTTCTTCAACGCGTGGGAATCAGATCTTCACATACAAGCTATTTTCCTCCTTTGCCTCTGAGGGAGGCTAGGAGCTCCGAAGAAGAAATCTGTCCCCCACCTCCGCCCTGTAGCCCTGGGGCTTCCTCTCTAAGCAGCAGCAGCAGCACTCCCTGGCGTCAGTATCTAATTCAAACCAGCTGATGGAAGATTCCTTTTATGTAAGCCCAAACCAGTTTTAAAAAAGCAACAAAGCCTACAGATCTCATCTACATAACGCCGTGAAAGGAAAGCAAGCATGCCGTGCATGGGTCTCGTGGGACGAGCAGTCAGGGTGTCCGCGAACGCGCAGGGGTGAAGGATACAGTAGCTTTCCCAACCTGGGCTTCGGCCTGAATGTCCTTGAGTGCGGCCAACTGCCCTTGTAAAGCTTTAATTTCTTCTTTCTTTCGTTTTTCTGCTTCTTCTGTAGCTGCTTTCTTCTGTGCCTGGTATGAAAATTATTTTTCCATTAGAACAGCTATTTAGGGTAGTCTTAGAAATTGGGAGAACGTTACAGCATGTGAGTTATGTTTTTCATAAGTTATGACAGTCACTAAGATTAACAATATAACTGGGATCAAAGTACCTTCACCAAATCAATCTGATAAATGTTTACGGACAGATAGAACCACACATGTCCTCTCGTCTGTCACTATTCCTATTTACAGATGGGGAAACTGAGAGTCTCACAGGCAGAACGTGGAGGAGCTAGGATCTGAACTCAGGGAGACAAGGTTTCCCTGGTTTCCTGCACAGGAAGCTCCTTGAGTGATCTGTCGGTTTATTCGTGACCAAATAACTTCAATAGAGGATTAAGTCATAATTTCATAAAAGTTGACTTACCCTAATTTCAGCTTCTGTAGGTCTGCCATCTATTTTAGCAAATCCCTCAAAAATTGTTTTATAGAGAACATTCTTGCGTATGCTGTTGTCGTCGGGAGGGAGGTACTCTAGAATAAAAGCCCGGTGCTGTTTATACATGTCCAAAATAACTCTAACCGCTGTCTCGCGAACCTCATACACTCTGTGCTCCAGGGTGCTCACTGAAAACTAAACATAAAGTTGGGAGGGGTTCTTGTGGTTACTGATTCTGACAACAACAGAGTTTATTTTTCCCCAGCATAAAAGAAATACAGGCACATTATAAAAATTTGAAAAAGAAAAGAACAACACCCACAGAATTCTGGCTATTACGACACTGAGTTTTTCTCACCATGTTTCCCTCACACACGCAGCGGAGCTCACGTTGGATTATATATAACTTTGTGTTTTGCTTTTTTCCGTTTAACATGCCAACAAACATTTTTTAGGTTATATCCTTCTGTAGACTTCATATTAAATATTATAAAACATTCCAATCACCGAGAAGAGGAAATAAAAGAAACTTCACGCATCCACCATCCACATTAACCGATGTTATGATTTTGCCATGTTTGTTTTGGATCTCTAAGAAATGAAACACCGTGGTGATGGTGTGAGTCCCAGCAGAAGCCCCCTGGGCCCCACGGTCTTCCCGTGCTCTGAGAGGGCACGGCTCTCCTGAAGCAGGCCTGTGCGCTCCCGCCCAGACAGGGGTTTGCGCGTGCATGCGCGTGCGTGTGTGTGTGTGCGTGCGTGCGTGTGTGTGCGTGCGCGCGTGCTGGGTACACACATGGGGTTTTTGTCTGACATTCTAAATAGTATACTGTGCTCATCTTTCTGAAACTTTCTTTCCTCCCACTCCACATTTCTTTGTCAAGGACGTTCGTCCATCACGATCCATTCCCGCTGCTCTACAGCGTTGTGCCATGACACGTTCGTCCCAACGCACGCTGTCGATACCACGCTCAGTAAACTGACACCTGCCTGTGGGGCTCTCACTTCCCACAGTCTCAGCCTGCCACAGGCCTTTGGTTGTACCCCAGGTGACGGCACTGCCTCCAGGAGTCCCACCCTCTGATGGGCACCTCCCACCTTTCCCACTTTTTCTAGTACTCCCTCCCCAGATAGTTCCTCAACCCCATCGGGGCCTCTGGCGCACTCTGGACCCAACACTGTCTTCTCCTGTCTGTCACCTCGCTCAAGGCTTTCCTGCCCCATGTGTCCATCACTAAGTCACTTCTGGGACCCCTTCTTCCTGTGTAGTCACGTGCCTGCAGCCTTGAGAAGCATGCTGACTGGCCCCATGCCAGACTCGCCATGACAGGTGCCCCGGGGGCTCCGGGCAGTGCACAGTGACCTGACCTGAGGCATTTCTGGCCAGTTCACCTTCTTAGATGTTAAGGGGGCGTTTCATACATCCTTCTTGTCTCTCAAACCTCCATTATCCAGTTGGGCTTTGAGCGGACTTCATCCGTGGAGAGGATGCGTGTTCCCCGCTCTGCGTGCAGCCAGCCCTGCTGCATACACACCAGAGCCCAATCCCACTGGCCACTCGGGGACTTCGCTCCTGCAGTAACCAACCCCTCCAGCACGCAGGCGTGATGTCAAGCACAAATACAGACAAATACAGCTACGTGCTCGACAGGCCGGCTGCCCCCCCCCCCCCCAGGCACACCTATACCGCCTCCCCTGGCCCCGTGCGCTGAGGTCCAGGGAAGGGTGGGCAGGAGCGGCCCGGCCCATAAAGACCCCCTCACCACCCTCCACTCGCTTCCTCCATTCGGTGATCTCTGAGTCGTGTGAGAAAGCTGGTGGCGTCCTACTGGAAGGAGTTGGAGGCCTGAAGGCTGGCGTGGGGCAGAGCACCCTCTCTCCTTGGTAGCTGCATCGGCCGCAAGGGAGAGTGACCAACGTTCCCTGCGCCTCGCCGCTGCAGCAGAGCTCACCGGGACTGACGCCAAGGCTGGCGTCTTGCAGCGGGGCGCCAGGTAATGGGCATTCATGTGTGCGGGGCAGGCTTCATGTTCTGTGCCGGGCAACAAGAAGACTGCACTTGGAGGCAAGACACAGGCTGGTCCATGTGACTGCAGGGCGAGTCAGAAGGGAAAGTCCCCTGGGGAGCTGGCAGTGGCTAACCAGGCAAGCGATGACGGGGGCTGGACCTGCGTGCAGCAGGGAAGCTGGGAGGCTGGTCGGCGTCTGGATATATTCGCAGGAAGAGCCCACGGCATTTGCTGAGCCAACAGAAGAATGGTGTTGCCATTTCCTGGAGGCAACAGGGAAGGCTGAGAGGGAGCAGGTCAGTGAGGAGGGCAGGCGCTCCATCTGGACGCGGGGCGGACACGGCTTGCAGGGGGAGTCAGGCGTCCAGGGAGGGCACACGCAGAAACTGTGTCTTCCACGGACGGGTGGGAAGGCGCAGGTGAGGTCAGCGAGGGAAGGTGTGTGCACAGGAGTGAGAAGAGGAGGCCTGGACACTCCGAAGTTAACGAGATCAGGAGGATGAAGAAGAACCAGAAAAAGGAGTGAGACGAGGCCAAGCGTGGCGTAAGTGGGGCGCAGAGCTCCGGAAGTCTAGGGAGGGGCGTCTGAAAGGCTGGCTTACGTCAGCGTCTAAATCATTCGTCCGGAGAGAAAACACAAGAGTGCAAGCGGCCTGCCATGACCCTGCCTTTCCTGATGGCACATCTGATTACGTGAGGACCTGGTCCAGGTCTCCGAGTCGACGCACATGTGGAATCCACGGAGAAGGGAGGCCTCCCTTCCCACGCGCACAGGAAGGAATGCGGAGCGCTGATGCATGGGCTGCGCCGTAAGGCGCCGCTGTGGGGGCGCTGCAGCTCCTCGTCCGGCTGAGACGCCGGCTGTACGCTCAGAGTGCGCTTCGGTCACATTCGAAATTAGGGAGGGGGGAGTCCTGGCTCTGGCAGACAGCTCCTCTCCCAGGATGTCTGTGGTTCCATCAGGTCGTCCGTTTCTGCTGCTCTCCATGTCCAGATACTTGATCCCCAGTGACGCTGCAGCTCTTACCGACCGGATTCTTCCTAGTCTGTCCGCCACCACGGGCCAACGTCCACACGTACGTGCCGGCTCGCGGCAGAATGAGGAGCAGGAAGCCTTTGTTAGATGAAACAGTGACTGGTTTTCTGAAGTCATTCACTCACTCGTTCACTCAACGAACACTGACTAGACGCCCACCATGCTCCAGGCTCATCTCAAGTGCTTGGCTCGGCACCAGAGGTGCGCTTACCTTCATCACGTTATCGATGGTGAAGCCCGTGCCCCTGGTGCCCAGGTCTTTCAGAAGCCGGGCCAGGAGGCCTATCTGACTCATCGCCAGATGATTCGAAGAGTTGGCTTTTAATGGCTGCACCAGGTAAGATGGAATAATTTGGAGAGACCTAACTTCTTTGAACAAGGCCATTTCCTATAAAAACCAACATGACTGTGTTAATTTGTACTAGAAAATGCTAGAGGCAAGTCAGTATACTCCAGTATAATCCTCAAAGTAGAAATCGAAGGAAAAAATAGGGAATAAAAAATAGTGGTAAAATAATTTATCTCTAATAACCTCATTATTTCTATTTAAGATATAATGATTAAAAACAAAACCCCAAATCATAAAAAACAAAACCATGATCACTCACAGATAAGTGAAAGCTTTACAAGAAATGTGATCTAAAACTTAAGATTTCATTTCTCAGGATTTCCCCACTTCGGAAAAAAGGTTTTCTAATTTCTAAAATTCTAGAACAAATGAGTATTGTGTTAGTCTTTATGAGATTGGCCAAGGGGGTAGCAGTGCACAGTTTCTGGCTGATGGGACTGCTGGTGGGCTGAGGGGAGAGCATGAAGTCCCACTGCCAACGAGTAAGTCTTTCTATAATTAATGTATTTAGCATTGAAGCAGCGAGACACAGAAAGAGTAACGATAAAATACCGAAGCATATGGGTTGCAATATAGAAAGAAATCAGTTTTGGGGGCGCATGGGTGGCTCGGTTGAGTGTCCGACTCTCGACTGCAGCTCAGCGTCATGGGATCGAGCCCTGCATTGGGTTCCATGCTCAGCGGGGAGTCTGCCTGGCCTCCTCAGCCCTTCCTCTCACTGTCTTCACAAATGACTAAATGGAGGACTGACACACTCTCATTTTCAATGTTCCTTTTGAAAGGTGCCACCTCCCCCAGATCTTGAGCCACACCGAGAGGGAGTATCTTGTAGGACTTGAGCATCACTTACTTTTACCTTCCTGTAAATACAACGTACTGCTTTTTCATTCCCCCCAGAACTCAGGTGAAAGGAAATGAGATGAGTGGTTCTTCATACTGGAAAAATGACCCCTCTGAGAAACTAGGAAAGCTATGGAGTCCTTCCCAACAGAATGTTGTATAGAATCTGAGGCATCCATAGACTTGCTGAAGCCGAAGCACGGGCCTCACTCAGGGGAAGAGATACCAAGATACCTCTCTTGGTACCCCCACAATACCCGGCCTGGAAGAGGCATGTTTGCTGAACGAGCAAAACTATCTAGATTAAGGCCATTACACATTTATTATCTCTTTACCCTTAGTTTTCTATTCTGGTTTAATTTTCCATATATTTTTACTAGAAGTTACTGGCATACGTTGAAGAGGAGAAATACTAGACAAGTCAAATTATACTTTAGTCGAAGGCAAACTTCAGCTCTCGGAGCACCAGGCAAGAATGACAGGGAGTCACGAGGAGGATCAATAACGCTCTTGGGAGAGACAGAACCTGGTAAGGTACTCAGAAAGTCAAATAGCGTAGTAACGGGCTCATTATTTACTGTTTCAAATTTTATGGTGAAATTTGTACCTGAATAAAGTTTGAAGCTATGACTCGGAGGCGAGCAGAAGAGTCTCCAGTCCTGGTGAGCAGGATGGGGATGGTTCTTTCCACACAGTGAGCGGTTTCAAGCTTACTCAGTTTGTGTTTAGGAATATATTGCGTAATTATCATTTTCAACAATTTCAAAGAAGCCTGAAAAACCTAAGAAAAAAGTGGCAAAAACAGAGGAGCTCCTGTAACTGTATTCCAGCAAAGAAAGCCTGACATTTACCGCCAGTAACAAATGTGAACGTTATGCTGGAGATTCCACACTGCCAGCAGGGCCGGTGAGGGTGAACTGAAAACTGCTTTTCTAAACGCAGCGCCTCGTGTACGGAAGGTGTGTGCTCTCATCTTGAGTGTCAGAAAGAGCCCCACGTTGGCCTGGAGGCCACACCCCGAACACTCCTAACTGCATACGTGCAGGCAGTGTGCACCCGGGGCGTGCTCACTCTCGCGGCCCCTTTCAGAGTCAGGGGAATCCAGGAATAACCTCAAGCCCCTCAGCTTCCATGAAAAATAAAAACAGAAACTGAGCGTTTAATCAGTCCCCATGAGTCGGGCCTCAGCGGACCCTGGCTTCTAGGGCGTGGGGAAGCTGACCCCGTTCAAGGGCAGGGCATGCGGCCAGGTGAGGACAGACTGCGCAGGCTCTTCACTGACCACACTTCTTGCTAGAGAACCTTCTTTCCTAGTGACACACTGTGCTACCCCCGTGGCCACCCGACTTCCTGAGGCACCTCACCCGGGGCCACGGGGGGGCAGAGGGGACTCACCGGGGTCACTATGTCTCTGAGGGCTCTTCTCACGAGAAAGATAGATGCGCGCAGCATGCTCTTCAGCTCTTCCTTCGGGGTTCCAGCAGGCGTCTCCATCAGTCGCTTATACAGGGCAAGCAGCGCGTCCTCCCGGTACGACCATGTCTTGGAATAGGCCCCGGCGACCTACCACAGCCCGGAGGCCGGCCTGACTCAGAGCAGGCGCGTCAGTGATGCCACCCCACCGCCCAACACCGTGCGACCCGACACATGGAGAAAAATCTCTTGTGGGACAGAATAAGTATGCGTGTTTAAGGAAGTGCCTTTCCTAATGTGGAATACTGAAGACCCCTAAAACATGGGAATATGAGAAGTTCCGCCAAGAGAAATACTGGGAAGCTGGGAACTAGGGGAAAACCCACTGGGCTCATTTCCATACGGAGACCCTTCCATCTTCTGTTTTGCTTTGCCACCATTTCCCCGGGGATGGGCAGGTGTTCCAGAAAGGGGCAGATTTTCAATCCCAGCTCTGTCAGTACTAGACAGAAACACCCAGTCTTAAATGAACACACGTTCATAAAATCTTAAATTCTAGCTTCTGTTTCTGCTGTTTTGTATAATTAATGATTATTGAAAGACTTCAACTGAATACTGAGGCCAAAAGGGGAGCCAACAGTATCATGGACAAAGCCGAGGGCGCCTCCTTGCCTGCCTCCTCCCCGTTCCAGACACCCGTCCTCGGCACTCGGCCTACCAGGCTCTCTCCCAGCACGTCCACGGCGGGGCCGGCCTCCCTCAGGGCCTTCTCTGTCAAGGGCTCCGGCTCTCCAGCCGCACCTCCTCTGGGAGCCTCGCTGACATCACTGTCACTCTTTTCTGGCTCCAGGGCCACTGCTGGCTGCTTCCGCGAGGCAGGGAGGGGCCGCTCGTCATAGGGCACGGACTGGAGCTGCAGGGGAGGAAGGGCGGCTGCAGAGCTCCCCAGGTCTGTCCGCCTGCCAACACCGCATCTACACTGCAGGCCTACTGCTCTGCACGATGGTAGTTGTATTGGATCAGAATAATTTGTACAGGAGGATTCAACTGAAAAAATTAGGTCACGGTTTCCATTCCTTTCTAAACTCACCGTAGATCCAACAGAAAAGCGATGTAGATTCGGCCTCGGTTACTATTTACCGCCAGTAATTACAGTTCAGCGGACAGGTAGCTTACAAAGTAAAAGTTATTGCGTTTTTTCCTGACAAGACTTCTGATTTTTTTCTTAGTTTATGACTTATAAATATCAGGCCTCATTTTAAATGTGTTCATTATCTGGCAGACGTATACTAAAAACAGGCAGCCAAGCTAACGACCCTTCAACAGCCTTCCTGTGCTCTGGGCGGGCAGCTGTCTGTCCCCCCTCAGCCCTGCAGGTGCTCGCCGGGCCCCCTGCCCAAGCAATGGGCGACACGACAACCCCACCTCCTGGGGCTTCCATCCACATGCAGAGACAGAGATGCACACCTGAACATGTACATAGGTGGCAGACTTTTGGGAAATTAAGTGAGAAGAGAGATTCCAGAGTCATTTCCCGAGGCAGGTGTCACTGCGACACTCCCATTTAATACCCACTGAGACATTAACCGGGTGTATGCTATGTGTGCGAGTGAGGTTCTCATATTCTAAAATCTACTCTGCTATGAAACAAAAGATGCTGACATGCTGACAAAGGAGACGTTAAGACCATTTTAAACCAAAGTATTGAGTATGACTTAAAGCAATGACGTCACGGACAAGATGCTCCCGGCGGGGATGACAGGGACCCTCAAAGCTGTGCACTGGGAGGCCAGCAGCACGAGTACTGTCCTCTCTGGCTTTCCTGGGCCTCAGGCTGCAGCAGACATGGGCCCGTGCCCACCTGACACCCTGCCTTCCTCCCCAGAGCCCACCGGCCGCACCGCCTTGCCCGCCAGCTGGAGCCCCAGTGAAGCCCTCCTTTGGTCCTCGTCATCACTCAAAGGCTGGCATGTGACCGGTAACTCAGAATGGGACGCGCTTGCCCCTTTCAGGGGACAATGTGCGGACGTGAAGCTGAGGGCCACGCGAGAGCTCCAGCTCTAGGGTGACTTGGAATCACAGGAAATAGAGTGGAAAGACAGGAAGAGAGTGGGTGATGAGGACACTGTGAAGCTACTGAACCCTTAAACCTACATGAGCTCTCCAGTCCCGAGTGACACTAAGACCAGGAGACCCCCAGTCTGAGCTAGCTTTTCTGCTACTTACAACACAGCAAATCCTCAAAGCTCAGTAACCATACATGACTCGTATGGAGGCCCTACCGAAGTCAGTTCTGTCACTTTACAAACATGGTCTTATTTATTCCTGGAAACAATCCTTCAAGCAGATATTTGTACATTTTTATAGAGAGGAAAGCAGAGGCTCAGAAGGATGGGGTGTCCCGGACCACTGGCTGATGGGGCAGAAGCAGGCGGGAGGCCTGCACATCTGACTGTAGACAGGGCCTCCCAGGGGGGTGTCATTACCTGCTGGAACATCTGGGCAGGAAGGCTCTGCGGCTGTGTGCCCTGATCCATCCCCTGCACGGGGAAAGCCTTGGCACCATGTGGGTCCTCCGCATGTGTCTGCTGAATAAACCGCACACAATCTGAAACCGAGTTACCTACGTGGGTCTTGAGATGAAGGTCTGTGGCGCGTGGTGACAGGTCCACTGTGGAGTGCTGAGAAGGGCCCAGGGCATGCGCTGGAGGCTTTTCCTGAAGGAAAGGCTCTGCAAACTGGCTTTCTGGCGCCCTGTCTTCTTGCGGGAGGGACGGCACTGGCTGTTGGTGGCGAGGACTGGCAGAGTGAGCAAGGGGCTGGAGGGGCAGGTCGGAAGGCCTTCGCACCTGGGGAAAAATGGGACACTTCACTCCCAGTGCTGTTGCCACACCATTCTGGGGGGGGGGGGGGGCGCGACCATTTAGGAAGGCAGAGAGGCAATCTGCATCAACGGTGTCCCCCAGTTCTGTCCCAGCCTTTCAACTACCCCTCCATGGTGGCCATGTGCCCCACAGAGCACACCGGAGTGCCTGCGTGACAGCAAGCACAGCACCTGCGTCACCCAGCGTGGAAACACGCACACGTACCTGCCAGCAAAGACATGGTGCGTGGGGTAGGAAGCACCTGGGCGGGACCCCAACCCTGGCGTGGCCGTGTATCCTGTGGCCGCAAAAGCAGGCTGTTTTGTGTCATCACGACATAGTTACTGTGGGTCATGGCGGTAAGCGTGCCGGACAGACGCTCTCATTTAATGCACACCCCTTTTACCCCATAACGGGAGATAGAAACTGAGGCAGAGTGGCTAAGGAATGACCCGGAGATCCCACCGCCAGCAAGGGGGCCAGGTCGGAGCCCAGGCAGTGAGGCTCCGGAGTCCGCACCGTCCCGCACGACTCTGCCACATGGGGTGAGCACCAGCTACCTGTGGGGTGCTAAAGGTGAGCGGCGGAACGTCTCCCAGGACACACGGTCTCAACAAACCGAGGCCGTTAGGATTAACGGCACACGACCCTCCTGAGGCCATCATGGGGCGAACGTGGGGCAGCGCCGCCTTCAGTTCATTGTACAAACGGGGGAAGCCGAGCCGGGGAGGAGGGGCGGGATCCGCTCTCTCCTCCGCCCTGATCTGCCTGCAAGTGCGTCCAGCAGCAGGCCCCACAGCTGACGCCACCTGTCTGAACCGGCACCTGCGTGTGACGGAGCCATGCGCACGGCACACACGCACTGCGGACACACGGGCGCTGTGGGGCGTCTCCATGGCCCCAAGGACCGCTGCCCGGGTACCTACCGGCTCGGGGTCCACCAGGCTGTGTAGCTGCAGCTGCTCATACACCTGGCTTCGGAACTGCTCCATCTGCTGCTTCTTCTCCTTGGCCAGGTCATAGTCCTCCTTCTCCACCGCACAGCGCTTCTCCACCTCGTACCGCCCGAGCCGCTCTCCGACCTGAAGCACACGAGGTCGCCCTGCTTCAAATGTGCACCCACCCCCAGCCAGTGCAAAGCGAGGCCTGGGTGACGGGGCTGCTGCCCGCGTAGCCTGCTCGGAGGAGGGGCCACGCTGGGCCATGCAGGGGCGGCTAAGAAACTGCATGAATCCACAGGGACGGTAAACATCTTGTGTTTTTCTACCACTTTAGGGCGGCAATGTGGCGTCTGAGGATGACGTCTGAAGAGGCTGAGCGTGTGCCTTCATTTACATTTTATTTAGGGGCTCATCCGTCCGTAACTTTATTTTGCTTACCCCCTTGGACCCACGCTATTACCCATAGCTTTTAGTGGTCTACGCCTTGGCTGTACCAGGGCCAGGACCACTGCCTGCCTTCTCACACACTTGAGGGAGGACTGTTCTCTCCAGGAGCAGTACCTTTTGCAAATCAGCAATAGCTTGTTTTAGCTTCTTGGCATAGTCGTAACGTTCCTTTTGGACAGCTTCACGTTTTCTTTCATCTAATTTACGTATAATCTGGGCAACTTCTGGATCTTGGTACATATCAAAAGCTAAGTCATCTAGTGGAGAAATATAGTCAGATTTCCTAAAGGAGAGAAATGAATATTTTAGAGCTGACTTTGCCGTAGGTGACAGCGTGGTGGCAGAGGGAGCCCTAGGGGCTCATGATGGAGGTACAGGTGCAGCAATGGCAGCCCCCACACCTGCTCCTGGAGCATTCTTGCCGGAGAAAGTGGAGGCTCAGAAAAATCGGGAATGGGCTTCAGGTCACCCAGCTCTTACGTGCAGGCAGGTCTCTCTGACTCCGCAGCCTGTGCCCCCACCCATTACTGAAACCGTACTGGGGGCATCTGAGCCTTTGGTGCATTGGTTCTTCCACAAATATTTTGAGTGTGGACTCTGTGCCCAGCTCTGTTCTGGGCACCGGGCACATAACAGTGCCTGTGAATCATTTGTAGACTAGGGGAAGCCCAAGCCAAAGCAGACTGCCAGGCCCCATCTGTAGAGAGGCTGACTTGGTGGGTCCCAGGTGGTCCAGGTGTCCACATTCGACACCAGCGCCACAGGGAGCATGACAAGCACGAAAGATGCAGACAGGCCATGCCGGGGCCTCGGCTCACAGGGTCAGGCTGCACGATACCCCAAGTCCTGGCTGGATCAGAACAATCCCTCCAGGAATGAAAGATCTCTGTAGTGATCTGAGTAACCCGTTCCTGGTCACCACTTCATTCTTTCTTTCAAATTCTACAGCAGGCTGGCAGCTTTGCCCTGGGTCTGACACTTCGAATAAGGCCTAACCACTCAACAAAAATGCTGGCAGAGGACACATTTCAAAGTCTCCCTGTCTGCCGTATCAGCTGCATAAAATAAGCCAGGTGTTAGCTTTGACTTGGGTATTTTTATATACAGGTAAATTTTATTTATTTATTTATTTATTAAAGATTTTATTTATTTATTTGAGAGAGAGAGAATGAGAGACAGAGAGCACGAGAGGGAAGAGGGTCAGAGGGAGAAGCAGACTCCCCGCTGAGCAGGGAGCCCGATGCGGGACTCGATCCCGGGACTCCAGGATCATGACCTGAGCCGAAGGCAGTCGCTCAACCGACTGAGCCACCCAGGCGCCCTACACAGGTAAATTTTAATGAAAATATTTCTTATCATAAAAAATTTCGTTGTCTAATAATAAATTGAAACAGGACACGTGATGACATCACTTTTCAGAATGATCAAACATCCCCCTAACACTTCCCGACTCCTGGAAATCAGGCTGTTTGCTTACAGCACCCCCACCGGGCCTGGGGGTTGGCTCAGCTTTGGCAGCTTTGAACAATATCAGTTAATCTCAGTGAGGACCAAACAGCAACACGCTTTGGTACTGGCACAAGGTTAACTATTTTTACCTAAATACATACTATACTTTTAAGTCAAAGTTACTTTGCCTTGAAGTCCTGGAGACGAAAACAAAGAATTTATTATGAAAATGCTACAAAGAAACACACGACGTCATCTGACGTGGGAGTCACAGCTCCAGGGCTGTGTGTGGGCAGCTTCCTAAGAGCCGGTCTCGCCCTGCCCACGACCGCCCCCCAGCGGTGACCCTGGCTCGGTCCAGCACACAGCCTTCCACAGACTGCTCTCTCTTTACCCTCAGGAAAGCCCTGCAGATGAGTCAGGATAGACAAACCGCGGTCTGCCAGTCCAGGTGGCTAACCTGATAAAGAACTGATTTAAACAGAGTCCAAATAACCCAAAGAACTTCTATGGGAGATCCTAAAACCGACCAGTGGGATTGGCTGCCCATGTTCTACCAGCTGGAGCTTCACTGAGGGCAGAGCCAAAGAGCTGACCCGGGGTTGGTGCCGACGGACAGGGAGAGACAGTGTGGCAGTCCCCACCTGGAAAGGTAAGGAGGGCACTGCTGTTACTGTCAGGCACAGGGAGAGTCTGCGGGAGACAGACGGGCTGCGTAGGGGAGAGGTCACTTTCCTCACTATTTCATACACATTAAGGGACTGCCTTTACTTTCTAAGCACTCCCTACTGACATCCACCCCGTGACAGCCAGGCTGGAGGCCCAGGGAGGCTCGACAGGAAGCAAGGCAGTCCAAAGCAATGAATAAGTTCTTCATTCTTAAGCCGGGCTCTTGTGCTTGCATAAAATATGGAGAGAGTCTCTCTGTGGTCACTCAGGAGCCACTTGCTGTGCTAAGCGTGTGCACCAGTGGACAGTGAGCCTTGCTTCTGGTGGAGCCTCCCCTGGACCGGCAGCCTGGGCTTCACGAGGGCCCCAGGCTGAGGGAGGTGGGAGCCACACCACCATGGGGTGGACGAGAGTGGGGAGGGCTTAAAGCAGACATAAGATGAAGGCTCTGGTAACTGATAATCTGGGTCAATTAATTCCTTTAATTCTTACCTACAAAGTTGTCTGTGCCAATAAAATATCAAAGGATGGCCGACAGATCTTTTACCTGCATGTAGGAACTTTCTAGTAATACCTGAACACACAAGAAATGGAGCGGTCTCCAAAGGGCAATAATTGAAGATGTGCTAAGTAAAACAGTGACCTTAATCTTTAAGTGTATTTAAGTCAATCCCATTAGTGGCTTAACTAGCTCAGAACTGAATTTAGAGGCTCTCGAACCCTCAATCCTCTAGAGCTGACTCTAGAAATTGGCAATTCTGAGGGGAGTCTAGGAGCTGATGGCCTTGTGGGGAGGATTCTTACCCAGTACAAGTTCCTTCCAGAGCTGGGTCCTCACTGTTGTGCCCCAGATAATGATCAATCAGCTTCTCTCTAGAGGTCTTTGGGAGCAAAAAGTTCTGGTTAGTGTCTCAGAGGAAAACAGGAACAACACGAAGCCTTAACTAAGAGGTGGCGTGATATATAGATGTCAGCAGGCTTTGAGAATCTTAGTCTTTTGGAGAGACAGTTAAAATTCTTGAGTAAAAGAAAGTTTAATACACTACAGCTGCTAAAAATTATCTGCTAATTATTCAAGAATTTTATAAAGATTTTCAAGATGACACTTTTTGTGACAAAAATAATCAATCCCCTCATTAGAAATACATTTTCTTCTTTAAGAATGAAACGTCCCAAACTTACGATATTGCTTTCATCACTGAAATCTGCAGGGTCTCCAATGATATTTACTGCAACCAGAGCAACCTAAGAAAGAGTTAACCAATCGAAATTAAGTATAAAATGTTTGTGATGACTTCCTCCCTTTATTATAAACTGCTTGCTCTTACTGTCATCAAATGGGACGATGTACACCAAAGCACATTAACTGTAAAATGTCAAGCTATAGAATTATTATTATAGTTTTTGTAAATTATGTTAAGTTAATATTCTAATGCCTAATCATATGGTTATTTTAACGTCTAAAGTACATTAAGACGGTAACAGCTAAAAGCTCCACAGTTTTAACGCAGCATCACATCGAACCCTTCCCTCACAGTCCAGTACGGGGACCCATCTACTCAATCTTGGTAAACGGGACAACGGACTGAAAGCCTGTGTTAACGCAGCTCAGTTTGTCTGGGTCTGTGGCTCTCCCTGAAGGGGGAGGACTCCCCCTCCCACACCCTCTCTCCCTTGAGCATCACTGCGGTGGAACTAAGTGAGGGGGTTTTACTGGTGGGGCCGACGTAGAAAGCGGTTAGCGATCACTCTCCAGGTTCACGGTCAAGCACTACTGCGGTGGACCCAGCCGCGGAACTACACCCCAGAGCTCTCCTCAACTACCGTGGAATGTTCCACTCCTCTTAGAGGCGGTGGGGAGTGTTGTCAATATCCATGCTAATGAAGAGTCCGCTTTGGACACAACTGATTTTTACTACATGAATCACGCCAGAAACAAAACTAAAAGACAAGACAAGAAAAAGGGACAGAAAGATGGGACGGGAGGGAGGGAGGGAGAAGAATGAGGACTTGAAGTCACCCCCCAAGTCCTGCCAGGGGACTCGTCCTGCAAAAGCTTAGCGCCTTTGTCTAGAAAGAGTGTCACCTAACAGAAACAACACAGGCCAGCTAGATAATTTTAAATTTTCTAGTAGACACAGGAAAAAAATTGTAAAAAGCAGCAGATGACATTGATTTTTAAACCTAACATCGCCACAATATTATCATTTCACTGCTTAACTGATCCTTTTCCTCACACAAAGCCTCTGAGTTGCAGTGTCCAGTTAGCCCGAGCGGCCCACCACACTCGGGCTGGCCAGGTGCCCAGCGCGCTCCCGCTGTGTGGGGTGGTGGCTCCTGACCGCACCGCACGGCTCCCAGAGAGCTTAACGTTCTGCCATAAAAGTTACCATCTTAAAAGAAGATTTGAAATGCCTTTGCCAAGGGGCGCAGGGCCCTGGGACGCTGTGAGGAGGTGGGGAGCAGTCAAGGTGAGGGCGCGCATCTCACCTGATTGTATATGTTGTACTTGTTGACGTGGTTCTCGTGAAAAATCAGCTTCAGGAACTGTCCTACTGCATCCACGTAGACGGACTTCAGCTCCCGGGCTTTGCAGCCTGTCTTCTCATTGTCACAGAGAGAGATGTAGCTGAAAGGGAGAGCACACACCGGAATCACGCTGACAGAACACGTGTGCGCAGCAAAACTGAACTCAACGGGTTTTGGTCCAAGTCAAGTCTAGAATGGAAAAACCTTGGGAAAAGCCCAGGAACGGTATTCTAACCCGTTCTCTTGAAACAAGTTGTGCATCTGAGGAGCAGAGGCGAATGGTGCTGACACCCCAACAGTACTGCTTACCGAGCACGTCTCCACTCAGAGGCAGCGCACCTGACCCCCACGGAAGTCTGACCAGGACCGGGAGCAGGGCGGTCCCTGTGTTCCCACCGCTCGGACACCGGGAGAGTCGGGCCAAAAGTTCCCGTCACGAGCCTTCGGTCTCACCCTTACCCAAGTCTCCGGAACCGCTCCGCCTGGTAGGGCACAAAGTACTCGGGCAGGCTCTCGCTGATGTAGAACTCCACTTTACTTGGGATCATGTACTGGTGGGCAAGCAGCTGCAGCTTCCTGATTCGACACCTCTCCACCATCTGAAGGACGATTTCTTGTGGAAACTGGCAAAATCTGAAAGCAAACACGTGTGTTTGTCACACAGTTACTGCGAGGGTTTCCGGCTGTGTGCATGGCACCCCGCATGCATCGAGGTGGTCTGCAGGGGCTGGCGCCAGCGCCCCAGGTTCGGTGGAGCTGAAGCTGCAGTTCGGACTGCCACCCGATGCTTTTGGCAACTGGAAAATGGTCTGAAATGAAACGGTTTCAAATGAAGTTCAACACAAGATAAAAACATCAATCTTAAGAGGCTGTACTGATGGGAAAGACAGAGCCAAAGGATTTTGCCCAGGAACCCAAATGCTTTAGGAACGCCACCTGCTCAGGGAATCCGAGTGATGAGTGCCTACCATGCATGCTCAGTGGTCTGCAGGAGAGGCCCACGACTGTCCACAGGGAAGCTTCTAGTTTTTGCCTCCTAAGTGACAGAGCACATTAACCACCTACATGAGAACGGGCTGGAGAACCGCGGCTGCAGGATCTGATCATGACTGAGCAACAGAGCACAGTGTTCAGACCGCGGATACTATGTACGCTGAGCTGGCAAGCGCTGGGTTACTAGAACAGTGGGGCGTCGAAGGCCCTGGGAGAGGGAAGCAGCCAAGGGTGGAAGAGCTGGAAAGGGCCCGGTGGCCTTGTGGGTGAGCCCACTCCTGCCCACTGGCCATGCTCCAACCCCCTGCCACCTCTCCCAGGAGCCCCCCACTCCACTGAGAAAACAGGCCTCAAATGGGACTGCTCCCCGAAAGGAGCAGCATCCCTGCTGGTGCCCCATCCCCTACTCACTCCCCTGAATGGCACCACAGCCTGCCTGCCCCCACCCAGGCTTTTCTCTCCCCATCACTCCCAACACACACACTCTAGAGCCCCCCATTTTAAGAATCCCCCCGTGACCCCACATCCTCCTTGGCTCCCACGCCGGCACAGCCCTCTCTCGCACCCCTCCCCCTCCAGGGCGCTTGGCCCATGTTTCCACAGCTTACTCTCACCACGGCCACCACTGAGCCCCCGGACGTTGCGTACAAGTGTACCTCCTGGTCCCGGCTTCGTCCAGCCCACAGGCCTGAGCCCGGATGACTGTCGGGTGCCCTCCCCTCTGTCCAGGCATGCACTGCCCCTGGCTGGGGTCCAGGCTCCTTCCTCTCCCTACAGTCACCATCGGGGAGCCTATCAGACCCTGGGGCTTTAAAAACCTCCCGCTTGTCAAGGAACCCCAACGAGATATCACCCCAAGTCCAAGCCTATGCTCCAGCTGGTGACGTGACATCTCCCTGCAGACGCCTGACAGGCATTACATACGACAGACAAAACGAACTCCTGACCCCAGCCACCCTCCCCGATCCCTCGATCCCTCGGGGCCCATCTCCTCGTCCCCCTGCTCTGCCACCAGCGGGAGGCACCGCCGCCCCCGGGGCCCTGTTCGCACGATTAGTAACGGGGAAGGGAGAGCGCACGGCAGTCTGTGTCTAACTGCGGGGGGTGTGCAGGGGTGTTGGCGGAGGGTGGGCGGTGAGGAGGGGCGCGTGGGCTCAGATCAGATGGACTCTCAGCTCGGAGGCGCAGTCGCCCAGAGTCTTCAGAGATGAAAAGCTCGTAAGAGAGGTGCACTTGGGGCAGGAGGGCAGCTATAGGACGGGCTTGCAACACGGACACTCCTCAGTCCCCCATGGCGGGCGAGCGTGGCTCCAGGTGTGTAAGATATTTACGGCTCTCAAATGCCGAGCATGTGGGTTATGACGCTGCTGAGGTCACTCCAGGCATCGAGACACTTAGTGATCGATCATGAAAAAAACCCCTCCGAAGTGGGTTAAAGAAAAGACAATGGACAAAATTTGGAAGTGTATGTTTTTTTCAAATCCTTCAGAAGATGGGCCTAGGACTGTGTTATTCAAATGTAGTTTACAGAACTCAAGCATGAATCGAAGCTGTCCTTCAGGGATACTAAGAGGTGACAGGATGGTGGGGAGCGTGGGAGGCAGGGACACTGAGGGGGGGCGCGCCGGGGTGGGGAGCCAGCCTCACGGGCAAGAAGCTTGATCAGGCACTTGGGCTCCCGACCCCTTACGACTCTATCTTTGGCGAACACTGAAGACCTCTCAGGAAAAGGCTTAGTTTCAGAAAAATACTAACCACTGTTATGTTATGCAAGTAATGGGCATTTTTAAAGGTGTACAGATATTCAAGATAATCATTTTGAAAGAGGTGCTCTTGGTTAAAGTTTGGGGTTCACAAAAATCTTACCCACAAGGAGCACAGCTGTGAAACTAAGGAGCTCGGCACAGAACACGGGTGGGAATGGGAGGCCCAGCAGGCAGCCAGGGAAGACAGCTAAACAACACTGCGTGGGCCCTTCTCCTCCCCCTCCTCTGTACACATTTCTTAAGTGAACGTCAGTTAATGCTTTCAGGGAAAAAGGTCCAACAAGTTTTCTTTAAAAACATAAATAGAAGGAAACAACATCCCATCACTGCACAGAAGGTGCGTGGTTCTGAGGCCTGAGTGGTAAGACAAAGCAGAAGCATCAAATGAAGGCAGCCCACGGCCCCAGCCTGGCCCACCTCGGTGACCTCCACCCGCTGACGGTTGGTGCGTGAATCATCAGTTCCCGGGCACTGAAGCCATCTTCATGTCCAGACGAGCTGACGACAACGAAGCCAATCTTGTGGGGCATCCTGGGCGCTGGGCTGTTTATAGGGCAGGAAAGACTTTAAGATAAAGGAACTTGGTAACATTTTACAACATTGAACATGTTAGCTCATGCCTTGCTCATAGACAAAATAATTCACAAGGTATCAGAATTTTCCCATCACTTTGAAAAAATCCAGGTTTTTTTGTTAAGTGTTTCCCCTAGGAGCCTCTAACTCTATTTAAGGTACCATTTATCTTGACTTTTTCCAAATGTATGTCCTAAAAATTTGACCAGTGTTGTGGGTTGGTTTCCCCCCAAAAAGAGGATGAAGTCCTAACTCCCGGTACCCGTGAATATGAACTTTATTGGAAATAGGGTCTTTGCAGATGTAATGGGGTGAAGACGAGGTCGTGCTGGAGTAGGTGGGCCCTGATACGAAAGCACTGGTGTCCATCTGAGGGACACAGACAGGCACACAGACAAGGAGGCCAGCCCAGGAATGCCAAGGATTGCTGTCAGCACCAGACGGTTGGAAGAGGCAGGAATGATCCTCCCGTGGAGCCTTTACAAAGAGCATGGCCCTGCTGACACCTTGATTGTGGGTTTCTAGCCTCCAGAGTACATTTTTGTTGTTCGAAGTCATCCACTTTGTGGCACTTTGTTATGGCAAAACCAAAGAGTTTTGTTAAGATACAAACACCAAGTTTTTTTTTTTATAATTACTAAGAAACTAATATAATCAGTATGCTAATAAGGTGTACAAAAATAAGGGGAAAAGGGACAGTTTAATCAACAGCATGGTAACTGCTGAACGCAAATGCATGGCTCGAGCAGGGAGGGCAGGACTATAGGCAGATATATGCCAGGGGTGGAGATGTGCACCTGGGGCCCGCTTGAGATATTTATATATCGGTTGGATGAAATTTTTGTCATTGTTTGGTAAACTGTTCATAGTTGAATATCATTTTGAGGATGGGTGCTGTGATGTCTGGTTCTGCCTGTCCTGGTTTGAGAACAGCACCTCAGCTGCAGTTTCTGCCTGCACCGCTCCCGGGCTTGGTCAGTCTGCGGGTTCCACGTCCCTCCTCAGCAGCTGGTTTAGGGGCGGGAACACGAGAGCAGCACCCAGACGGGACCAGTGTGGCCCATCCCTGGACTCTGCTGGGGCTACGGGGAAAGAGAAGCCTTCTTGTTGGGGCTGTAGCCATAGAATATTTCTGGGAGGTTACTGGCGGCCACCGGTGGGGAGGTCCTGCCAAAGAGCAGGCCGACACGGGAAAACAGCCACCTCGGGAACCCTGAGGTTCAGCCACATTTAAGGCCCAAACTCCTCAGAAACTTCTGGTTATTTCCAGTTCCTGAGCCAGTCAAACTCCCCCTCACTAAGATAGAAAATAAAGAATTCTCCAAAAAGTTCTCTGAGATAGGACATTCTGTCAGCTGTAATCCTGAAAAGGAGGTAACACAAACATATTCTGCATGATTTTGCTTATTTTAGTATGCTTGATGCATGATCTAGATCTTTTACTTTCATTCAGAACCTCAAATGACCTACATCAATAAATTAATTATTGGCTGGTACTTGCCAATGCTTCTTCGAGTACATGAACAAAAGCATTAGTAACAGAATAAATAAACCATCATTAAAGATTGTAATTTCTGACAGTACATCAGAGGAACACTAAAGTAAACCCACTCAGAGATTCACACGTAATTTCATATGTAAAATCAGGATTCATATGTAATTTCGAGGGACCCCAAATAGCCAAAACAATCTTGAGAAAGAACATAGGAGCATCCACAGTTCCTAATTTAAAAACTTACTACAAAGCAACAGTAGTCAAGCACCAACAAGCAAGCACCAACACTGAGTGTGACTGTATGCAGGTGTGACGCAGAACCCCACCTGTGCTCCCACCAGGAACGGGATTTGTCCTCCGTACCCTGCAGCTCCTCCCACGAGCTTGGGCTTTCAGCCTGGACGTACCCTGCACCTGCTCCTCCCCACTCCCATCCATCACGTGCCAAGTCGCATCGATCCTGCCTTTCAGATGACTGACTATGATTGAATCCACTCTTTTCCACCCCACTGTCTTTTATAGAGGATGACCACGGACTGTAGCCAGGTCTCCCCACCTGGAGCACTCCCCCCAGTTGTCCTGTGTTCCTTCTCAAGTCCAACTGGGGTCATCAGTATCTGTGTCCCAAACTCAGAGCTCTTGATGTGCTCCCTGTCCGGGGGTGAAGGGTCAACTGTGTCCTGACCCAATCTGCTGTTCGAATTCTGAAGTCCAGCCAAACTTAACTAAAGCTTAGTTCTAGCTCCCTGCTCTGAATTTCTCAAGTCCTTCAATCATAAAGGCTTTAAGAGCAGGGCCCGTTACTTCTAGTCCACCTTGAAATTAGTAGGCATCTATTAAATATATTTTTTTAAGATTTTATTTATTTATTTGACAGAGAGAGAGAGAGAGACAGAGAGAGAGGGAACGCAAGCAGGGGGAGTGGGAGAGGGAGAAGCAGGCTTCCCGCGGAGCAGGGAGCCCGATGTGGGGCTCGATCCCAGGCCCCCGGGATCATGACCTGAGCCGAAGGCAGACACTTAACCGATTAAGCCACCCAGGGGCCCTTATTAGATGTTTTCAACTGAATGTGAATATATCTCGAAATTCTAAAATCTGAAATACCCTTTATATTGCCCCTCTTGTATTTAGACATGTATTCCTTTACATAGTACTCTTGCCTGCATTGGGACACTACCCTTACGGCACTTACTGTGTGCCGAGGACTGTCCGCAGCCCTAGATACACACTTAAACCTTCGTAACAGCTGTGATATAGGTTTGTTGTCACACAACTTTAGAGCTGTGGAAACTGAGGTACAGGGAGGCCCCTGCTCAAGGTTACACGGCTGGTGAGCCCCGGAGCCAGAGTGTTTTCAGCTGGTTGGGTTCCAGAGGCCCTGGTCTTCACCCGCACCCTCTGCCAAGGTTCTAGGCCTTAAAATAGGACCTTTGAAGTCCAAACGAAGGTTGTGTCCATATGCTATATGGCCTCAAATATCCAAAACAAAGCGCTGGCATTTAGGAACCAGGTAGGAGACGTGCTTGGGCACCGTAGAGGCAACATCGTCACCTCACTTTAAGTAGCTGGAAAGGAGTCCTTTCTGGCTACCCTCTCCCGAAGCTCTTCCACCTTGTGCCCGAGCGCCCTCTTTGAGGAAGCCCTCCAGAGTTACAGGATGCTGGCGGTGTCACTGAAGGACGCTACTAGTGCACGATAAAAATCACCACGGACATTCTGGGAAGAGTCAAGGCCCCGCTGAGCACTCGGCTCCCGGCGAGCAGGCCTCCAAGCGGCAACTGCTGACCACGGCCGCCGTGCGACGCGAGGCGCCCGCGTGGACCCAGGAGGCTCGGGCGCTCCTCCCCCAAGTCTATCACTAAGTCCCCTCCAGGGACGAATCAGGATCGTGGACGTCTATGGATCAAACCGCAACAATTCGGCGACTTCCCAAATTTTGCTACAAGACTAGTTGACAAAAACCTTGTTTCCACTTTCTCTTTTTATGAAAACCTACACGTTTCAAGAGTAAATAACCTTTGGTCAAGTAATCTCAAAGCCTGAAAGCGCCACAGAGCCTGTCCGAGATCGAACAGGTACCGCAGTGGGGCAGGGGGAGGGACGCGCGGGACCCGCACAGGGGCGGAGCCGCAGGTAGGGTCCGGGGCCCTCCGTGCGCCCGCAACAGGGAGGCCCGGCCGTGCGGAGGCCGCCGCCGCCGCAGGGGCACCCTCCGCACTGGCTCGCCGCCCCCCGCCGGATGCCCCGCCCCTAGGTCGCGCCCACCCCGGCAGGCCCCGCGCCCCGGGCCCAGCCCCCGGCCCCCGACTCTCCCGGCCGCGCCCACACCCACATGCGCCAGGCCCCGCATCGCGGGTCCGCGCGTTGTCGGGGTTCGGGGTACCTGTCAGGACCGAAGGCCCGCCCGGACCTCGGCGCCTGCACGGTCCCCAGGGCCCTGCGCCTCCCCTCGGCAGCGCCTTGCGGAGCTCAGGTGGCGCCTCCTCCGCCGTCCACGGCCGGTCCGCACCCCCGAGCCGCAGCGGCGGCGGCCGCCGAGGAGCAGCCCCGGCCTCCTGCGCCTAGCGCCAGGGCCGCGGCCGCGGCTCTCATGACAACCAGGCCGCCCGGGCCAGGCCGCGCCTGCGTACAAGGCGGGGCAGTGCCTCCGCTTCCCCGGGCCTCTGGGTAATGGAGTCTCTGGGGGACGGCGCCTGCGCACAAGGCGGGGCCGCGCCTCCGCTTCCCCGGGCCTTCTGGGTAATGGAGTCTCTGGGGGACGGCGCCTGCGCACTAGGCGGGGCCGCGTCTCCGCTTCCCCGGGCCTTCTGGGTAATGGAGTTTCCGGGGCACTCCGCGCGACTTTGGTCCCCGCAAGCAGGGCCCGCAGGGCGCAGGACCCTCGCCGCTCAGCTGATCTCTGCGGCCTGGGCGAGGACCCGCCTGATTGGTCCGCCAAGCAGGTGCCGCCGGCGGGGTCGCAGGCCCTGAGGATGCTTGCCGCGTTCCGGAAGCCCAAGACGTTCAGGCTGCGGGCTCTGCACAGCCAGAAGAAGTTTGGGGTGGCGGGGTGGAGCTGCCCGGAGGTGCTGCAGAAGGGGTGCCTCCACTTTCAGGTGCCTGGCGCGGGGTGGGAGGGGGAGGACCGGGTGCCTCCACGTGCAGCTGCCCGTGGCCAGGGTCCGGGGACCGGGCGCCGCCTCTAACTTCTTCCTCTAGTTACTGAGCCCCATTCCGCGGGACTTTGTGGAGGGGTTCTGGGACCACTGCTCCCTCTCCTGACCACGAGGATCGCTGCAGCTCTGGCCTGAGATTCTGGGACTCCGGTTCTAGCGCACGGCTGCTCATTTGCTGTGTGCTCCGGGACACAGCCCTGTGGCCTCTCTGGGCCTCAGTTTCCCCCTTCTGTAAGATGAAAGACTTGAGCGAAGAGGCCCACGGAAGGCCCTTCTAGCACTCTTGTTCCAGCGATTCCAGGCATCATTCCTACTGGATTCTTACTGCATTTGTTTTCTGGGCTGGACTTGGACTTGGAGCAGCGCGGGGTGTGGGTGTGTGTATGTGTTGGGTGCAGGTGCGCGCGGAGTTGCCATCAACGTCCATAAGGCTGATCAGCGTCCAGCAAGTGTTAGGGACTAGTGGTGCCGCATGCTGGTTACGCCTTGTCAGCCAGAGGCCCTGAGTCCTTTTCAGTAAGATGTTCTCCTTAATAAATCATCGACTAGGATGCAGAGTGCGCTGAGTGGGTGTGTCTCCACACCAGTCACAGGGGACGTGCGCTCTTGATGGGGTTGTGTTTATGGGCTTCGTGGAAGTGGTCAGGCGTCTTTTCTGCAACAGGCTGGGATTTTCAGTGCCCTTCAGGAGCTCCTGTCGAAAAGGTCTGTGTGGTGAATTCTGCAAAGTCGTCCCCACTGTGTCTACATTTTTACACGACTTGTGTTTTAGAACGACCTGCAGGAGGTGTCTGTTTCGACACGTGGGTACTTGAGACCCCAGCACTGTCTCAGGTGTTCGTCCACCTGTAGAATGTGGACAGCATCCCGCTCTTGATTCTTTTAAAACGTTTGTGAGGACCGCAGACGGAAGGGCCTCAGGTTACTGCTCCCAGGGTGGGCCCGCCTGAGACCCAACACAGAAGCGTCCTTCCCTGCCCTCCCTCTCCGCAGCTCCCTGTCGCCGGCTCCCGCCTGTGCCTCTATGAGGATGGCACGGAGCTGACCGGAGATTACTTCTGGAGTGTCCCTGACAACTCGGAGCTGGTGCTTCTCACCTCGGGCCAGACCTGGCAAGGCTGTAAGTGGCGGGGACGTGGGAGCTTGGCGGGGAAGCCAGACTGGCTTTGGAGGTGCTGGGGGCCTGCCATGGACACCAGCCTGGGAAGCGGGGAAGGGGAGGGTCTTCCTGCCCAGAACTCCAAAGGGGGAAGCCCCCGGCATCAGAGGGAGCTGCCCCTCCTCTTGCCCAGGACCCCAGTTGTCCAGCTGGGTGTTTAAGGTGTCTTGTCTTCTTTTCTAAGTTATTTAAATTTTCTGTTCATTGTCCTAGTAACTCCCAAGGGCGGAAGGGAGGGATTGGGGGGCATGGGTTTGTGGGCAAGGCAGAGCCAGAGGGAGGGACGCCTTTCCATGCGGTTGGGCCGTGTGGCTCCGAGGGTGGCTGGAGCTGCGCTCAGTGTCTGTTCTGTGTGGGTGCTTGCTGGCATGCTCTCACGTTGGGGGCCTTATCAGAGCAATTATTTCCAGGAGTGGTTCCTTAGGGGTGTCTGTATTTAAGCACCAGCTGGACGACAGGTTCCCCACTGCAGCCGTAGGCCAGTGGCAAAGCCTGTGTGCTCTTCTCCTAGGACGGTTGTGTGGCTCTTATGCGAAGTGGCTTACATTTCAGGAGATGCTTCTGGTGCCCGGGGAAGGAGGTGGGAGCCCTGAGGATGGAGATATCTGCCTCCTCGGCCTCAGGGCCAGAAGGACGCCCTAGAGTAGTGTGCGTGTGGCTTTGCCTTGCGGTCGGGACTCTCCTGTCAGCAGTGAGGGGTCACACGTCTAGTGTGTGCTCCGAGGTCGCAAGTGCTCCTTCTCTGTGGGGCCTTGTCCTTCTGGAGGAGGCAGCCAGAAAGCAGAGTCACCGTGATGCCACCTGGGATGGCCTCTTGCAGGAGGTGGGGACTGGGCAGGACAGGGTTGTGGTCCTGAGAATCTTTGGCTGTTCCTTCCCTTTCCCACTTCATGATGTAGTTGAGAGCAGACCAGGCTGGGTTGCTGTCGTCCCCGCTCCCACCTGCCCCCTCCTTGTCTCCTCCGTCCCTCCCTCCATCTCTCTCTCCCCTCTCTCCCTCTCTCCCCCTCTTTCTTTCTGTCTGTCTTTCTCTGGCACTTTATCCCCCTCTCTCCACTGAGATCACTAGTCCTTTTACTTGGTAAACTTCTTTAAAAAAAAAAAAAGTTTAAATTGTTTATTTTGAAATAGTGATAGATTCATAGGAAGTTACAAAGGTAGTGTCCCCTAAAGGGTGCAGATGACATAGTCATAGTGCTGCATCCAAACCAGGAGGCTGACCTTGGTCCAGGGCATGTGTTCTGTGTCGTTTTATCACTGTGTGGGCTTGTGTGTTTGCAGTCAAGGTACAGAAGCAGCCCACCCCCCACCACAAAGTTCTCCCGCACGCTGCCCCTTTATAACCATGCCTGCCCCTCCCAGCCCCGCCGTCCCTCATCCTTGGCAACCACTGGTGTGTTTTCCATCTCTGTAGCGTTGTCATCTCGAGATCACGAGGGAAATGGAATCACACGGTGTAGGGGCTTTTCTCACTCAGCAGTAAGCCCCTGAGAGCCATCTACGTGGTGTGTGTACCGGCAGTCTGTTCCTTTTTATCACTGAGTGGCATTCCGTGACATGGCTGTGCCACAGTTCGTTTACCCATTCACCTACTGAGAGACGTTTTGGTTTCCAGTTTGGGGCTATTACGTATAAAGCCCACGTGGCCCGTCAGGTACAGGTTTTTGTGCGGACATAAGTTTGCATTTCTTTGGAATAAATGTCAGGAGTACAGTTGCTGGGTCGTATCGTAAGTGTGTGTTTAATTTTTTAAAGACAAGGATGTCTACTCTTGTCACTTCTCTTTAACATTGTACTGGAGGTTTTACACAGGGCAGTTAGTCAAGAAGAATAAAGGCATCCAGATTGGAAAGGAAGAAGTAAAACTGTCACTATTTGCAGACACTGTGATCTTGTGTATAGAATATTCTAAGGAATCCACTAAAAAACTCTTAGGACTGATCAGTGGGTTCATCAGCACTGCAGGATACACGATCGATACACAAAACTCAACTTTGTTTCTGTATACTTGCAATGAATAACCTAAAAATGAAATTAAGGGAACAGTTATATTTACAGTAGAATCAAAAAGAATAAAATACTTAGGAATAAATGTAACAAAAGAAGTGCAAAACTTATAATCTGAAGAGTATAAAATGTATGTTGTTCCAAGAAAATAAGGATTCAAATGAATGGGAAAATATACTGTGTTTATGGGTCAGAAGGTTTAACACTGTTAAGATGTCCATACTCCTCAAATTGATCTGCAGATCATGCCAGTCCCTATTGGAATTCCAGCTGGTTCCTTTGCAGAATCCGACAAGCTGATTCTAATCCCTGATTCATATGTAATTTCAAGGGACCCAAAATAGCCAAAACAATCTTGAGAAAGAACATAGGAGGAGCATCCACAGTTCCTAATTTAAAAACTTACTACAAAGCAACAGTAGTCAAGACATTGGACTAGAAGATAGTCCAGAGATGAACTGATGTGTCTGTGATCAGCTGATGGTGACAAGGGTGCCAAGACCATCCAGTGGGGGAAACAATAATCTCTTTAATAAGTGGTGCTGGGACAATGGGACATCCACATGCCGAAGAGTGGGCCGGGCCCTCACCTGGCACCATATACAAAAATCAACTCAAAATGGGGTAAATGACCCAAATGCAAGAGCTAAAAATCTAAAACCCTCAGAAGAAAACAGGGCAGTCAATCTTCATGACCCTGAATTTGACTAAGGATTTTTATATATGATACCAAAAACGTGAACAACTAGAGAAAAAAGATAGATACATTTGACTTCAGAATGTAAGACTTTTGTGACAGCATCAAGGTGAACAGACAACCCACAGGATGGGCGAAGGAATTCGCGAATCGTGTATCTGGTAAGGGACTTGTATCCAGAGTAAATAAGGAACTCTTACAACCCAACAGTGAAAGACAACCCAATTTAAAAACGGGCAGAAATAGACATTTCTGCAGGGAAGATATTCAGATGGCAAACTAGCACATGGAAAGATGCTCGATATCATTCGTCAACCAGGAAATGCAAATCACACCCACAGTGAGGCAACCCCTCACACCCGCTGGGCTAGTTACATGCTGGTGAGCAGCACGTGGAGGAACCGGAACGCTTGCCCGTTGCTGGAGGGTGTGAAGTGTGCAGCTGCCGTGGGGGACAGGCTGGTGGCCCCCCCGATGAGTCAACAGAATCAGCTGCGACCCTGCAGTCCCACTCCTAGTGCACACCCCAGAGAAACGAAAGCACACGTCCACATGAAGACTTGCGCGTGATCTATAGAAGCTTTATTCATGATGGCCCAAAGGTGGAACCCCAAATAGTGTCCCCTGAGAGACAAACGGGTGAACAAAGTGTGGTGCATTCACACGGTGGAATATATAACCTTTGCCCATCTTTTCACAAACTAGGAAGCACAGGGTTGTACCTTTTGGGTGGGTGAGTTGTGAGGGGTGGGGACCCCATCTCAATCAAGTGGTTTTTTCCCAAACAGAGAAATGGACTGTGTTCCAGAGTGGCGGCACCCGTCCCGTGTCCCGCTTCAGGCCGTGTGGCTGTCTTCTGTCCCAGCCACCCTGGTGGGTGTGCAGGGCTGTCTCGGTGTGGCTGCCTTTCCCTGGGCTAGTCGGCCATGCGTCTGTCCTCTCTGGGCAAGTGTCTCTTTGTCCGTTTGTCTGTCTTCTCATTGGAGCTTTTAACTGCTGAGTTTTGGGTTTTTCTCATGATGTGTTCTGGATACGAGTATTTTGTGAGGTGTGTGGCATGTGGGCATTTCCTCCTCCTCTGTCGCTTGTCTTTGCGTCCCCGGAACAGGCTCGTTGACGGAGCAGAAGTTTCCCATTTTGATGAAGCCCACGTTGTCCGTGCTTCCTTCCATGCTCGTGCTCTCCAGGTGAACTCTGGAAACTTCTCACCAAGTCCTTGGCCTGGAAGAGTTTCTCTGCAGCCTCCCGCATCAGTGGATGTGATCATGGGATTATTTTTCTTTAGCTCATCAAGGGCGGATGATACTGGTTGATTCTCGAGCATTGAACAGCCTTGTCCCTGGAACGGCCCCACTGGGGTGTGGGGCATCATTCAGACTCTGGTTCCACTGGGTCCTCAGTGCTTGCTCGGCCATGAGCAGGGGTGTGTGGGGAGGCTTCCGCGGGGGCAGCACTGTGGCGGGGAGACCCAGAGGGAGGTCTAGAAGGAAGCCCAAGGATGTGGGAGGTTTCGCTTGGGGAAGAGAAGGGCAGCCACTTGCTTGGATGCTGTCCTCTCCATATCCGACCCCGCACCACTTGCGGGGCGGGTACCCAGGCGCAGGCCCAGGGGAACGGCTCACTGGTATCTGGGCAAGGACTGGGGCCCAGGGCATCCCTGAGGTCGGGCAGTTCCGGAAGCGAGGAGGTGCTGGACGTGCGAGAGCCCGTTCTCACGGTCGGCAGCTCCGTGTCATCCTGTGGCGGCCCTCAAAGACTGCTCGCTTTCTGTCGGTCCCCCTTCTGGTGGCAGATGTGAGTGACATCAGTCGCTTCCTCAGCGCGTTCCACAAGCCACACGCGGGGCTCATCCAGGCTGCCCAGCAGCTGCTCTCCGACGAGCAGGCTCCACTGCGGCAGAAGCTGCTGGCCGACCTCCTGCACACCATCAGCGAGAACATCGCGGCCGAGACCAGGGCCGAGGACCCGCCGTGGTTCGAAGGTAGCTAGGGGGCTGGGGGCGGGAGGGCTGGCTCAGAACCGCCCTCGCAGGGGGGACCTGATCCCGCTGCAGTTCCTGGGCCAGGCCTTGCCTGGCTACTCTGCTCTTGCAGCCCTGGGGCTGGCCTTTTTATTTCTGAACTGTGGAAAAGTGGACGTAACATAAAATTTTCCATTTTAATGTGTAAGCGCATAGTTTAATGGGGTTGAGCATCTCCAGAACTTTCTCAGGTTCCTCAACTGAAACCGTGGCCTGTTAGACACCAGCCCCCACGTCCACTCTGCAGCCCCTGGTGCCCGCGCTTACTCGCCCGGTCTCTGATCTGACTCCCGTAGGGCCTCACTTGCGATCACACAGGGTGTGTCCCGAGCCTGGCCGGTTTCACTCTGCACCGTGCCCTCGTGGGCCATGTGTGCTGTCCCGTGTGTCACAGCCTCCTTCCTTCCTCAGGCTGGCTCACATTCTCCTGTGTGGCTGGACCACATTTGCTTGTCCGTCACCTGGCCATGGACACGTGGTGCGTCCACCTCGGGGCTGGCCTTTAAGCAGGTTGGAGCAGCTCCGTGGATGAGGGGGCTGGGGGGGGCAGGAGCAGAGGCCCTCGTGGCCTCTAGATGCCTATGCGGGGGGCCAGGGGACCATCTCCAGGCAGAGAGAACCGAAGCCTGCGAGCAGGACACTGCACGTTTCTCAGGTGAGGCCGGCGGTGTGCCCAGCCTGTGGCCGCGGACACCAGAAGGCCCTTGTCTGTTCCTGGCAGGTTTGGAGTCTCGATTCAGGAGTAAGTCTGGGTACCTGAGGTATAGCTGCGAGAGCCGGATCCGGAGCTACCTGAGAGAGGTCGGTGCGCGGGCGTGCGGGCAGAGGGGCGGAGGCCGTGGAGCCCGCCCGACTGTGGGTTTTGGGACATAATGCGCCAGCGTTCAGCCATGGCCCTTGGTTTCTTCCAGGTGAACTCTTACGCCTCCGTGGTCAGCGTGGAGGCTCAGGAGGAGTATTCCCGCATCGTGGACATCATGTGCCGGGAGCTCAGGGCGGCGCAGTACAACGGCAGCTACTTCGACAGAGGCGCCAAGGCAGGTGGCCGGCTCTGCACGCCCGAAGGCTGGTTCTGCTGCCAGGTGCGCCATGGGTCCCAGGGCCACCCAGGCGGCTGCTGAGCCAGCCCTCCCGTGGCTTCCCTCCGGGTGTCGGTGTGAGGGAAGGGTCAGCTCAGCCCGTGGTTCTCTGACTGCAGTGGAATTGGAACCCCCTTCCCCACCCGACGGTCGATATAAGACGCCCTGCTTCCAAGCCCCCAGCTGCTGGTTCAGCAGCCCTTCTGACAGCGTCCCTGGTGGCGCTGCTGGTCTGGGCCCTCCTCTGAGAACCGCTGTTGTGGTGGGAGAGCGCGGTTGCCCCGGGAGTGGAGGCCTCCCCTTGGCTCCTGCTGGGAGGAGGGGGATATGGGCAGACAAGGACAGTTTCACAGCTGCTGAAACGTGTCCCCCTGGGGAAGCTTTCTGGATGGCAGCTCAGATTTCAGGATTTGTGGCCAGATGTGACCTGGTGGGGTCGCAGTGGCTGGAAGCAGCGTTCCGGACCTCCCCCTGGGCACTCGGAGAAATTACAGAGGCACCACTGTCCAACAGGGGCTACCGACCAGGGTCACGAGTCACGGGGCTTGGAGCTGGTGGCCTTTGCAAGGACGGGCAGGGGCTGTTCTGCTGCCCATGCCTCCTTCCTGGCCTCCAGGGCTCCGGCGAGTACCTGGGCCCCTTTGCATTTCCAGTAAAATCTCCTCCCCCCACTGGGGGCCTGAGGGTACAGACCCTGGAGGCCGGGATGGCCTCCCTCCCACAGACGGGCTCCCAGTGCTTTTGCCTGGGCAGTTCCTTCCGTGGGTGATGGGCCCAGACCAGCAGAACACTGCTCCTTCCCAACCAACTGCACGTTAGCCTCTGAATGACCTCATGCGTACTCTCCATGAGAGTCGCCTGAGCCCAGGTGTTTCATAGGGGAGGAGCAAAGACAAAAGATTTCACCCTGATATCATCGGGAGGCTCGAGGCCCGAGGCCTGTAAGCGAGTGAGGGCAGTGGGCTTGGAGCTGGGAGGCTGTGCAGGCCCTTGGGGAGCAGGCCAGTCCTGGGTGGGGTGGGCGGGGGGCTTCAAGGAGGAGGTGACGCCTTAGAACAGTGTGGTGGGAGTGGACAAGTGACCCTGCGAGGGGGCACGAGGGTGGGGAGGTGGGGGCAGTGCGCTCTGTTGGGGAGCTGCGAGCCTTGGGGCGTCTGGAACACAGGACAGTGGGTGGGGGCCACAGCACGTGGCGTGTGCTCAGCAGGCATTTGTGAGGGAGTGACTGAAGGCGTGGCATGGCCAGGAATGCCGACCGCAGGAAAACCAAAGCCGGGCAGTCCAGACTATTTGATGTCTCTGGTGCCCAGCCTCTGCGTTGGGATTGTAGGGAAATACCGGGAAGGCACGTGGAGCAGATAGGAAGCAGCCAGCATGTGGGCGCCGGCCGTGGGCCTTCATTCCCCACGAGGGCGGGTGATGGTGTGTGCTCGCAGGGCTGGACACAGTGGGTCTGTCGGGGTGTGGGGACCCAGGAGGCGCACGGTCGGGAAGCTGGCTTTCCTAACAATAGCAGGAGCTGGCTTGTCCCCGTGGCCAATGCGGGGTACCATCCTGGGGGTCCCGAGGGAAAAGGGGGGGACCATTCCAAAGACAGAATTCCTGATAGCCCCAAACAGACTGAATCCCCTACCGGGCGGGACCTTCTTCTCAGCTCCTCTAACTTGACAGGAGACCAGTGGGTAAGAAGTGGGCTCACTTCGTGGACCTCATTCTCTTTTGACCTAGGGTCCTTTTGACGTGGACACCTGTGCATCCAAACACTCCATCAACCCCTACGGTAACAGGGAGAGCCGGGTCCTCTTCAGCACGTGGAACCTGGACCACATGTGAGTACGGGTTCCAGAGAGCTCAGGACTGTTGTTGAGAACTAAGTTCACAGACCCAAAGAGCAGCTGCTGGGGCCTGTCCGAGCCGTGGCATCCGTGGCATGCGTGGCTGGCAGGCTGCCTTGTGTTTCCTGTGCTGAGCTTGTGGGTTATGGACTCAACCATGTTCTGAGTGTGTAGGGTATAGGTGGGCTGCCAGATGCACCCTCCTAACCTGTGTGGTTAGGTGTCCTTCACCGTGGCGGGCTCTGAGAGGAGCTGGTCCAGATCCCTGTCCACTTCCGTGTGACCTGGTGCATGCCCCCTCTATCCCGTCCAGCTCCCATCTGTGGGGCCCAGTGGGCGCACTCAGTGGGGTGGGGGGGTCTCCTTCCTCAACCAGGATGAGCTCAGAGCAGGAGCTCTGATTCAGTGTGTAGGGCATTTCCTGCTTTCACCCGGATGAGTGAAGGCCAGCAGGATTGTTTTTCTATGTGTACCAGCTCATTTTAAGAAACGGCAGAAATAAAATTGTGTTATCTTAATGGAGACGCTTTCCTGGAATATAATGACGTCCTTGTCTCTGCTTTATGAAGACAGAGGTCTTCCAATGCCCTTCAAGTGGCCATACCGCTTTTGGGAGTCAGATGGTACTGAGCGCATACAGGACGTTCCGGGGACAGTCAAGGCTGCCGTCCCACCCCTTCTGGGTCCATTCCCTTCCGCCCACAGGAGCTGTTCCTCTGAGGTTTGTGCGTTTCCTTCTGATAGGTATCAGGCTCCAAGCCTTTCCCTGGGAGGTCTGAGTTTGAGAACGGACGTAACAGGGTCACACGTGGTGATGCCACACCGTGCTTCGCCATCCTACGTTATGCTTACGGGGATGAGCTTTGGGACATCTGTGAGCACTTCACTCTCTGAATAGAATGTCTCGGGAACCTGCATTTCTGTACTGGTAGGCGTGTCTCGTCTAAGTTTCCACTGTTTACAGGACAGCCTGGGGTGAGCATGGTCTCCGGTTCTGGGCCATGTAGGTGTGGTCTGTGGGCTGGCAGCTGCATCAGCATCTGCGGCCTGGTCAGGAAGGCAGATTCTCGGGCCCCGCCGGCCATTACCCGGGTGCGGGGGAGGGGGGCGCACCTCCAGGGTACTAGGACTGTCCTGGTGCCTGAGCCGCGGAGTGAGCTCCCCTTTAGGGAGGGCGCAGGGTCTCACCCCTTCTGAAGGGCACCGAGCACCCCAAGATGACCTCTGGCTCTCCAGCTCATCGTCTGCTACTTTCCGTGACTCACTGGGGCATGGGGACATGGATCGAGGGGTGGGTCCCAGCTTTAAAGGGCGGGACAGGCCAGCCTGGAGCAGTGTGCAGACGAGGCAGCAGAAGCGGAGTACCGGTGGCTTCAGTCATATTTTCTCTCTGTAAATATGGCACTGACACCCTCCAGCAACCCGGCTGACTTCTCTGCGCATCTGACCTCCGGCCTCCTTTCTGATTTCAGACGCGTGGCTTTCGTGCGGGTCTGTGGGCACTCTGTGCTCTTCCGTCTTGGAAGACGTCCCTGTAGCCTGGACTCTCGCGTGCTTGTTTGGGGCGTCAGGGGTCCCCCTTCAGAACCTGGAAGGTGGGGCAGCAGGGTCTCCGGGCGCCGGCTGCTTTCTGCCTCTTCGGTGGCCGCTTTCGAGCGGCTCTCTCTCCGGGAACATGGAGCGTGTGCGGGGGCAGATCTTGCCTTCACATTCTGACTGGGACTTGTCTTCCTTGTTCTGAGCCAACTTCCTCCTGGATTTTGAAGACTCCTAAGCATTTATTAGTCACAACTTCTCGGATTCTTCCTGTCCGGCTCTTCTGGAACTCTCCGCGGCTGCGTGCTGGGCCTTCTCATGATGGCTCCCCCGGGCTGCATCGGCTCAGACTCCAGATCTGCTGGGGTGTTCCTGGCCACGTCCGGCCACGGGCTGAGCTGTGGCCCCGCGTTCGTACGTCTAAGCCCTGATGGCCAGCGTGACTGTGTCTGGGGATGGGTCCCCAGGGTGGCTGTGGCGAGGGCAGGCCTGACCCGCCAGACTGTCCTGTGAGTAAAGAGGCCGCCTCTCTGAGCCAGGGACTCTCAGCTCGCCCCAGCCGGCCCCCCAGCCCCCAAACTTGGGGAAATTACGTCTGTTGCTTGGACCCCCAGAGCGTGGTGTCTGTGATGCGCCTGGGCCGCCTTGGACGCTTGCCTGTCATTCATTCACTTGTTCCCTCTGCAGCTGGGGTGCCTCCCGTCTGTCCACTGAGTCCATATTTCCTTCCTGGAAGTGCTTCTGCGTTCTTTGTAAAACAAGCCTTTCCATACCAATCTGTTTTCAATATATTTTTTATTTTTATTTTTTTAAAGATTTTATTTTTAAGTAATCTCTACACCCAGTGGGGGGCTTGAACTCACAACCCCAAGACCAAGAGTTGCATGCCCTCTGACCAAGCAGCCTTTTTCATTATTATTTCTGTTTTACATCACTTTATTCATTTTAAGCATATTTGTTTTATGGCTGTAAGGAATTGAGCTGTGTCCAAAGAGAGGTGTGGCCTCGGCCCCTGACCCCTGGGAGGTCACCTCGAAGCCCTCGGAATGTCCTGTAGGGGGTCCTTGCTCCCGAGGGCCATAGTTCACTGTGCGGTCTAGCAGTGTGATTGGGGTGCAGGCTGTGGGTCCCGTGGGGGCCGGAGATGAGGCTCCTCTTTGGGTGGCCAGCCATGCCCACGTGTCCGAGTCCCGACAGACTGGACACCGAAGCCTGGGGAAGCTTCCCTGCCTGGCGCCACCCCACGCGTGTGCTCACCGCCACTGCTGAAGGGGGTCTGTGCCCTCCGTGGGGAGAGGGTGGCGGGAGCTCTGCATCCGGAACTTTCCTGGACTCTACCCCGTGAGTCCCTTCCCTTGGCTGATTTTAATTTGCATCCTCTCATGATTATAAACCACTGCTGTGAGTGTAACAGTGTCCAGGGGCTTCTGAGCCTGTTGAGCAAACTCTCAAACCTGTGGGTGGTCTTGGAGAGCCCTGGCCTTTACAGTTGGCATTGGAAGAGGGGTGGTCTCCAAGAGCCCTGGACTTTACAGTTGGCGTCAGAAGAAGGGGTGGTCTCAGGGAGCCCTGGACTTTACAGTTGGCGTTGGAAGAGGTCTCAGGGAGCCCTGGACTTTACAGTTGGCGTCGGAAGAAGGGGTGGTCTTGGGGAGCCCTCCCTAGCTCTTGGTGGTCTGCCTCAGAGGCTGTAGCCCGGGTCCTTCTCGGGGGTCCTTGCCCGTTGCTGTGTGCTCCCGGTGACGTTGGTGTGTCTGGATTCCGAGTTCATCCTCAGCGGGATTGTTTTCTTGTCTTTTCTTTTTTTTTAAAGATTTTATTTATTTATTGGAGTGATAGAGAGAGAGAGCTAAAGAGCACAAGTGAGGGAGAGGGAGAAGCAGGCCCCCCACAGAGCAGGGAGCCCGATGCGGGGCTCGATCCCAGGATCCCGGGATCATGACCCGAGCCGAAGGCAGATGCTTAATGACTGAGCCCCCCAGGCGCCCCGTGGGATTGTTTTCTGTGGACGTCCTGTGTGTGCTGGCTTATCCTTCCCCACAGAGTGGTTTTGCATTTGTTTCTGCCGGACACCCAGGGCTTTCAGTGGCTCTGAAACAACTGAGTATTAATTTCTTGCTTGGCTCCCATATGTGTGGCAGCGGGAGGTTGGACTGTGTGTCTGTGAACAGTGAGCTGAGGGTCCTGGCTTTCTGGGTGACCGTGGAAATGGTCATGCTGTTGGTGCTCCCCGAATCATACCTCCCGCTCCCTGCACAGTGTGTGTCCTCCCGACCCCTCCCATCACTGAATAAGGCTCGGCCACGTGGCTCCAGCAGACTGGATACCAGCGGAGGCCGGACACGTGCTTGCACACTGGGGCCTGTTCTCTGGGCACTGTCATCCCCAGGGAGGGGCCTAACCTGGCTCCTTGGGGAGAAAGCCTGGCCCCCAGTTAGCCCTCTGGCCACAGGAGTGGGTCAGGGTCAGCAGGAGCCCTGCCACACCGACCCCCACAAACCACTGTTCTTGGCATGCAGCAGTAGGTAGCCGATGGGGTGGCTTTTTCTCCCTCCCCAGAGCCCGGGGCTCCCTGCCACTTCCCTTCCCACACTAATGGCTGCAGTGGGGTCTCCGTCCCACCTCCCCGGCTCTCCCCTTGGGCCCCTTTCTGGACCACAGCCCTAGTGGGCTGCAGGACGGGGGCTCACCCCTGCAGATCAAGCATGGACATCTCTGTTTCTGGCAGGGGGGACCCCCTTCTTTCTTGTGATCTCAAGTATGTACTTCTTTTCCCTTTTATTCAGCATTTCTCTGTGCTGTGGGGACATGAGTCTGTGTGCCTTGGTCCTCCAGCTGTGGTACTTCTGATTCCTTCTTGTCGGTCTGCAGGCTTCCATCCCCATTAGTACACGGGCTTTGAATGGTTTATAAGTGAGACAGGCTTACACAAAGCAGTATGGATGCACACAAGCATGAGGCTAGGGTTGGAAAGACAGACGTCAGCCCTCACCACGGCACTCTCCAGGGAGGACGAGGGGGAAGGCTTATTTCTGGGGTTCTGCTGAGGAGGGACTGAGGACACCGGGCTCCACCCCTTTCCTTCTGCGTGCCTCCCAGGACTTAAAGATGTGCACAGCCCCAGCCATCCTTCGGGAGACAAGCCAAGCTGCTTGTACCGGGCCGGGCTGGCAGGCGTGGCTGTGCGCGGTGATGCCCCCGAGAAGGACTGTCACCCAGTCTTCCTCCTGCCGACGGCAAGATGCTGCCCCTTTGGGGTGCTTCCAGGCGTGGCTCCTTTTGAAGTGTGGACCACTGTGCCTGTAAGCCCCACGTCGGTTCATGGTCCAGCTGCAGCGGCCGCACGGAAGCCATACGGAGTGTCTCTGTGCTGTCGCGGCAGGCGCCCTGGCAGCGCCGCGGGACGGCGATGGCGCACAGTGACCGGCTTTCACTTCCTTTGCAGAATAGAAAAGAAGCGCACGGTGGTCCCCGCACTGGCTGAAGCTGTCACAGAGCGAGACGGCAGAGAAGTGGCCTGGGAGTATTTTTACAGCCTGCTCTTCACCTCGGAGAACCTGAAGTTGGTCCACATTGCCTGCCATAAGAAAACCACCCACAAGCTCAGCTGTGACCCACGCAGGATCTACAAACCACAGACGAAGCCAAAGAGGCGGCGGCCGGCCCGCAAGTGCCAGTGACAGGCCGCACGTGCCTCCTCCCCTGGGTGCGTGGGATTCCAGTGGCTGTTATTGATGGCTCCTGGAAACACTTCAGAGATCCTCACTGCATTTCTGAATCGGCCTTTGCACCTCTGAGAGCCCAAGCGCCAGGGGACCAGTTTGGTGCACGGCCAGGACGCGTGTGGGTCTGCAGGGACAAGGCCCTGTCCTCAGCTCAGGGGCCCCGCCTGACACGGCGTCGGGCCAGACGTGGCTGCACTGGCTGGAGGGACAAGTAGTCTGTGTCAGCTCTCGGGTGGGTCTCCACTCCCACGACAAATGCAGAGCTCTATCCTCTGGGCTTTTCTGATTGCTCCCAAGTTACAGCCCATCTGGGGTAAAACGTTTGTATTCCACAAAGCACGTGCAAGGACACGCGCTGCCGTGTCGTTTATGATGGCAGAGAGTGGGAGACCCTCCACATGTGTGTCCGTGGGGGAAGGGCTCTCTGTGGTCTTGTGCTGAACCACAGGAAACTGCTGTTCTTGTAAATCAGAAATGGTCAGATGTCGCGATTCATTCCTACCCATCGACGTTATGTGAAGCTGTGTAGCAGTTTTGTGTGTTTCAGTATGGAAACGGGGGGCTGTGCGTCAGGTGCACAAGGCGGTCAGTGGCTTCACCACTTGGAGTGTGACCTGCTGGTTTTATAACTGCCTGTGCGTGTGTCGCACGTGTGTGTTAGTGCACGTGGGACAGTCTGCGAGGAAACGTGCCATCTGGACAGCAATAACCCTGGGGCCGTGGTGGGGGTGCGCTGGATTATAAAGGGCTAATTTTCCAAATCATGTATTTCATAAAACTTGGAAGTTTTTGAAATAAGCACTTACTTCATAATCTTTTAAAATTTACTTTTTAAAGTCCTACAGATTGTAATATTTGAATTTTTACTTTTGTATAATCGTAAAAACCAATAAAGATTTTTCAGAAGTAGACGTGTCAAAAGTTTGCTGGGAATCATAAGGACAAAAATAAAGGGTCAGTGATTTTTAAAAAATGACGCAAATCATTCCATTTTCTTCACTGAAATAGCGATGTCTTAGGATGAGCCAGTCCTGCATATGGGACCTTAGCATGTGGTGTTCACCTGGCCCCGCAGGAAGCGCACCAGTGGCGGGGGTCGGTGGGGGGTCGGGACGTGAGCCCGATACTGTGTCTGCTGAGCTGTCCTGCGGGCCGTCCTCCAGCCCAGCAGCAGGGCAGGGGCCGCCCGCCCGGCTGGGCTCTGAGATCTGATCTGCTAGGACTTCTGCTGCCTCCCCCACTGCCCTCTGCTCCTGAGCGAGCTCCTGCTCACCTTTCTGACGGGCACTTACATCCCCTCGGGATGCAGGATGCGGAAATCCAGTCTGACTTGAGCAAGAGCTGTGAGGCTCTCCTGGCTGCGATGCGGTTGAGTTTACTTGTTTCGGGGCCCTTGGCCTGGGTGTTGGGTGACTGTTACAGACGGGAGGGGGTCACCAGGCAGTTATATCCCCCTCAGACTCCCAGGATAGAGTTGGTGGCACAACCTCTTTGCAAAATAGGGGTTCGCAGTCTGTTCTCAACAAAAGAAGGGAAGAAAAATCTAGGAGCTGGGAGTGTAGGGTCTGGTGACATGCAGGTGCAGAACTGCCGTGACATGCAGGTGCAGAACTGCCGTGACAT